TATTAAGTCTTCTTGGGGCCCCTTTGTGTTATTCATTGATATCATCCAGGGTTTTTTTTTTTAATAAATGGTAAAAGAATTTTCCTTTATTTTTTAAAAAAAGAAAATAGTCTGTACATCTACTTTTCACATTGAAACATTGGCATGACTTAAGATCTTTATTTCCACACACTGGGCTCCATGGTAAGCATTAGTCAAGTGCAGGGTTTTATATCAAACACTAGTGTTTGCACATTTTTCTGGAGTGGGATCCCCAGCTTTTGTCAGATTTAAAAAGATGTCCCAAACTCAAAAAGATTGAGCTATTCATTTAAGGGTTGTCATTATCTATGAAGTAAGTACTCAATTATTACTTGATTGTGGAACCGTATCTATTGGAATCTTTCAGAACTGAATCCTGAAAATGCAAATCCCAACTTACTATTTATATTCCAAGCCCTAATTTCTATACCAAAAATCATCTGGAAAATCAGGCATCCTGTTGGATAGATCCAAATATAGGTGATTCTATTTTGTTTGGCCCCAAGCCTATTAGTAGTACCTTCATTTTTTCCATCTCAGTTTTGAGTAACTGAAGATTTCAAAAAGAACGTTAACGTTTTTGAAGTATGCCTAGAAGCATTGTTATTTTCAACATGCCCCATCTAAAGAAACTCATAGGCTTTGTAATTTTATTTACAAAGTGGTGATGAAAGGACATTTAAAGAAGGGAACTCTAGGCAAAGAAATACCCAAGCTCTCGCATGAATTTCCCAGCCCCACCACTGGAAAGATAAGATACATTATTTAGCACTTACAAGGAGCCGGGTGAAGCAATGGTTAAGCACTTGGCTGCTAACCAAAGAGCTGGCAGTTGAACCCATCAGTGGTTCCATAGGGAAAAAGACCTAGTGATCTGGTCCTGTAAAGATTACAGCTAAGGAACCCTATAGGGCAGTTCTAGTCTGTCCTATAGGGTCACTATGAATTAGAATCAGCTTGACAGCACACAACATGTCACACTTAGGGCTGGTTATGAATGAGGGGCCTTGACCAGCTGTTTTCACCTCAGCTGAAAGCAGAACAAAAGGGGAAAAATGGACTTGACCATCAAATTGAAGAGAGAATTGTACTATATGTTAGCTGTCAAATATGAGCTCATGAATACGTCTCAGGTATTATACAAAATGCTTTATATGAATTATTATATTTAATCCTCACAGTAATAATCCAGTTGTTAACCCCACTTTTACAGATAGAGAGACTAAGCCTAAGGCCATTCATCCAATAAACCTCCTACAGTTGCTTGATTTCGTAACACTAGAAGTTGTTGTTGTTGTTGTTGTTTGCCGTCGAGTCAGTCCCGACTCATAGCGACCCCTCCTTGGGTTTCCAAGGCAGTATCACTACGGAAGTAGGATTGCCCAACCTTCCTTCCGAGGAGTGGCTGGTGGGTTTGAACCGCCTGCCTTCTGGTTAGCAGTCAAGTCCCTTGGCCACTATGCTACCAGAGCTTCCAACACTAGAAGTTAGAAGTCTTAAATTTCCTGACAGTGGGAATTTTAATTGTAGACTGAGAAACCAAATGACTTTGTAGAACTTTCTTCTTTGACAATAAGACACTTGACTACTAACCAGAAGGCTAGTGGTTCAAACCCACCAGTCACTCCTCGGAAGGAAGGTTGGGCAATCTATTTCTGTAGTGATACTGTCTCAGAAACCCAAGGAGGGGTTGCTATGAGTTGGGGTCGACTCAATGGCAAATAACAACAACAACAGCAAAAGCAATATCTAAATTCAACTAGCAGTTACCTCTTTAAGCAAGAGAAGTAGGTTAAAATGACTTCATGGAGTTCATTTCACCAAGTCTTTTCTGCCCCTTAAAAAAAGGAAATTGCTTTCACAGGAAGAAGTCCTAAGGAGCTTTGGGAAGGGTAGAAAACTTTAGCAGTTACATCAGGGGCAAAGGAAAACTGACAGCAGAGGGGAAGGAAGATTTCTTCTGGTTATCAATTTATTTTTTTAAATCCCATTTTAGAAAAGCAATCCCTCCTTGCACGGGTGGAGCAAGGGGAAGATACATTTTTGTTTCCCACTAGAAGAATTATGCGAAAGAGCTCATCTGTGTAAAATTGGCCTTGGCAGTGCTGCTGAGACCAGTGAGACCTTCAGGAATCTGCTGAGCAGAACGCTGGTTGTGCAAGCTTTTGGCCTGAAAGCCAGGGTGTGTTTTGCACACCAAAGCTTTACTCATTCCAGCATTGCAAAAATATGCAACAAAAGCTGTAACTCTCATCACATGTCAATTACCTCTTTCTCTTTGGTTTTTCTTCACTGCATGTCTTTTCTATGAACTATTTCATAAGAGGCTGTTGATCTTGTTTAACAGTCCTGAGGCTATTGGGGCAGGGCCACCAATGGTCCACACCACGTGAACCACTTATTGTCTCTTAATTGCATGTTGTGCTTTTTCCCTTATACCTACCCATAGCACTCACAGACATTATTTGGACCTTCTAGTAGTACTGAGGGTTAAAGTTATTGACCTATCTTACTGAACTTGTCTTTTGTTTTTCTCTTAATCCTTTCCTTATGACACAAAAAGATAGGTGATTATTTCAAGCCCCCACCAAAACAAAAAGTATATTTTCTTTGTAGTCCATGGCCATGGGAGTACTTTCCCCAAGCTGACAGAACTGATATTTTCCTGTTCCAAGTGAAAATACCGTGTTGAATAAATGGAACCCATTTGTTCCTTTCTTGGCTTGGATCTTTCTGGAGGTAATTTAAGTCCTTTCTTTTCTGAATTTGATTTGCCACCGCTGAAAATCATGTAGAGCAAGTGTTTTTTTCTTGCACTACCCTGAATGCTTAAAACTGTGCTGGTTACTTCAGTTAGGCTCCTTCATCTTCATCGACTCTCATGATGTCTCCCAGGGGCACAGACCAGCTCTTACCCTGTACTCCTGATTTCCTTGACTGCTTTAACTTTCCCTGTTTGTGGCTTTGATTTCTGAACTGCATGTGTCTGATTTACCTTTTTCATGCTTCTGCCATGGCTGTAGGATTTCTTTGTGAGCAGTAACTCCAAGCAGGTAAGTGAGCTACTGCCTAAACCTTGCATCATGTAACTCCTTGGCTCACTATAAGCTTGAAATTTCCTGGTTATTCCATTTGTTTTTAGACAGCATAATGCAGTGCCTAGGGAATTCCATGTTGTGTTTCAACTCTTACCGGACTATCTATAGAGGTACAAATGAAATCTCAGCATGACAGGAGACTATTGGAATTTAACCACATGGTTTCTCTTATTATAAATTACAAATTATCTTTGTTTCCTAAACTGTTAGACCATTCCAGAGTGCTTCAGCTTCCTTACATTTTTTAAATGTCATGATCCATTTTTAATTGCTCCTGACCACTGATAAAATCAGACTTGATGATATATGAATAAATAATAGTAAATATCAGTATTTTTTTTTACTTTGAGCTTTTTTATTAGTAACAATACCTCTGATGCTCATTTTACTCAAACAGTGTCTCATGTATAATTGTGTTATGCCTTGTCCGCCATAAATTGTGGTTGGCCATCATTGCTTAAAACTTTCTGTATAGCAGCCATGTATGTAGCTAATGTTGTATTGTTAACTCAAGTAATTGAACTAGTGCCTTGAACTGTCCCCCTCCCAGTTGTCTATCAAGCTTCAGGGTAACAAAAGGTACTATCTGGGGTTAGGAGCTTCATGCTGTACTTGAAGATGTTTGGGAGGTTTTGTTTGTTTGTTTTTCAATTGTGATTTAGGTGAAAGTTTACAGAGAAAATTCACTTTCCATACAGCAGTTCACATACACTTTGTCTCATGATATTGACTGCAATCTCCCACAATGCAACAGTTCCCCTCCCACTTCCTCCACATAGTTACCTCTTCCCTATGTCCTTCCCTCCATGGACTCCTGCCCCCTGAGCTGTCTCCCTGTGCATACACAGCCCTTCTGTTCTCCCATGATTGTTCTCTCCAAGGAGTGTATCTGCCTAATGTAAATGTTCAGCTCATATGCCTGTTTTTTTTTGTTTGGCAGGAATCCACAGGAGTGGTTTCAATTCCAGACCTGAAGGGCAGCTAGGGCCATAGTCTTAGGGGTTCCATCAGGCTCTCTCAGACAGCAAACCTGGTCCCTTTTTTTCTATCTATTTTTTTAATGATTTTGAGTTTTGTTCCACATTGTTCTCCTACTCTATCCAGGATCTCCTAAGTGTGCACTGCAAGTGGTTGACAGTGGTAGCTGGGCACCATCTAGTTCTTTTGGTCTCATAGTCATATAGGCTAGGACTGCATGGTGTACCAGTCACTTGGACTAATTGTTTCCATGCATCTTTGGATTTCTTCATTCTTATTTGCTCTGGACAAGGAGAGACCCATCATTGCATCTAGATGGCCACTTGCAAGCTTTTAAGATCCTAGTCGCTACTCACCAAAGTAGGATGTGGAACAATGTTTTTGTGTAGTATGTTATGCCATTTGAGCTTGATGTCCACTGCGACTATGATCTGTTTAGGATCTTTTATTGTTCAGCTTTTTGAATCCTCAGGATACAGATGGTTCTGGGGTGAATGGGCCCTGCAAATGGCTGGAGCAGCAGTGGCCAACCTCAGCTGAGCCTGATTCAGAGTGACAGTTCTTCTGTCAGCTATCCAGAGGGATTTGGGGGACAAAGGGAGAGCACCACTTACTGATAATTTATGCAAACTTAGCATCTTCAACTTCAAAACACTTTGTACTTCTGAACAATGCTTTTCAAATGTGGGTGGTCAGCTTTTCTTATTATCTGCCTTGGCTAACCAGGGTTAGCCTTTGTTCCCATTCCCCTACTTCCTTGTACTCCCCATCTCCGCTTTGCCTGTGTGTGTCTAAGTGTGTGTCTAAGTGCAAGTGCATAAGCAGAAAATGTAAAGAACATGTATGTCTGCAGTCTGAATGTCACTGTTTGACTTTGATGGATTTCTCTTGTGCTCTTTATAGAAAGAAGCAGATGCCATTGATGACACACTGAGTTCCAAATTTAAAGTCAAAGAGCTTTCAGTGATTGATGGTCGGAGAGCTCAGAATTGCAACATCCTTCTATCAAGGTATTAATGTTAAATAAATGTTTTAGTAGTAGGAACAATTTTTCTGTTATGTGGCTCAAAACCATGTTTGTATTTTTTTTTTTTTAATTTAACTCTGCTGAGATATATATCTTTGTATTCTCTATGGTTTAAGGTAAAGAAAATTCTTGTGCTTAGATCCATCAGAGCTGGATAGCTACTGTCGTGGAGTTTAATTTCCAGATTTCTAAATTTAAAAATCAGATCATCCTAAATTCAGAGGCCTAAAAATGGACTTTATTGACAAAATAGACAGCATTTTACCTTTGTTTATATATATATATATATATATATATATATATATATATATTTTTTTTTTTTTTTGCTTTCAAGCTATTTCAACCATTCTATAACACTGTCATGATCAATGATGAGAGCTTTTTGTTTTATTTCACTCTCTAATATTACCTTTTGATACTTAATGATTATATGATTCCATGGTCTTTTTGAACCTTTTTATGACTAAAAAGATATGTAAATGTTAAACTTAAATGAAATGCTAATTTATACAGTTCAGCCCTATTCAAAATTCTTTCTCATAATTAGTGAACCATCACGGCCTTGGAACTTGAAAAGAAGAAAGGGAATTTGGGGGCCTGGCATCTGATTGAACCTTCAGGCGATGTGTTGCATTGTCCTGGGCATTTCAAGTAGCTTTTCTGTCTCTAGTTTCTTCTTTTCTCTAAAAGGGACTTTCACATTGGGCAAAGATACCTAATGCCTTTGAGGTAAATGAGAAGAATCCTGAGCTTTGGGGCTTTAAAGATAAGTCACACTCCTTAGATTGTGGCAAGAATGTTGCTCATGTACTGAGGCTGGTGTAAGACATCTTCTCTCTCCAGGAAGGGAAGGAAAGCTGCAGTCCTTACCTGCTGATGCTCACTAGTAATTCCTTTAACACAGAGAACTACAGCTTGGTTTTCAGTATGGAAGCTTGATTGTTAGTCAGATACATATCACTTTAGGAAGCAAATGTTTCTTTTAGTAAAAGAGAAGTTGAAGCTTTGTGAGATCACTGAATTTCAATATTGTTAGTAAGGTAACATGAACCGTCCTGTTAGTGTTTCATTTCTGCCTCTAGCTGGATGCTATGGACATGGCCAGGCCTGTATTTATTCCCACTTTGGCTCAGTGAACATCATGGTCAGGTTAGAAAAAATATTAGCCTTAGGATAAGCCTTAGGAAAGCACCACTGAAAATAGTTTGAAGATCTACTTATTTTTCTGTGTGTGTATGAGTTATGTATGCAAATTATTTTGTTATCTTTTCATATAAAAAAATTCTTACTTCATAACTAAATAAAAGGATTATTTTAGTCCTAGAATTTCTTCCTTTTAGATTGATCATGTGTTTTGTTTTGTTTTAATTTTTATTGTGATTTGGGTGAAAGTTTACAGAGAAAATTCATTTCCATACAGCAGTTCACATTCACTTTGTCTCATGACATTGACTACAATTTCCCACAGCACAACAGCTGTCTTCCCACTTCCTCCCCACCGTTACCTCTTCCCTGTGTCCTTCTCTCCCATGCACTGCTGCCCCTCAAGCTGTCTCCCTGTGCATACACAGCCCTTCTATTCTCCCGTGATTGATCTTTCCAAGGAGTGTATTTACCTAATGTAAACGTTCAGCTCATGTGCCTGTCTTTTGTTTGGCTGGAAGCCATAGAAGTGGTTTCAATTCCAGACCTGAAGGGCAGCCAGGGGCCATAGTCTTAGGGGTTCCACCAGGCTCTATCAGACCAGCAAACCTGGTCCCTTTTTTTATGATTCTGAATTTTGTTCCACATTATTCTCCCACTCTATCCTGGATCTCCTACACGGATTCCCCTTTGAGTGGTTGACAATGATAGCTGGGCACCATCTAGTTCTTCTGGTCTCATAGTCGTATAGGCTGAGGATCGCATGGTGTACCAGTCACTTGGACTAATTGTTTCCATGCATCTTTGGATTTCTTCATTCTTCTTTGCTCTGGATGAGGAGAGACCCATCGTTGCATCTAGATGACTGCTTGCGAGCTTTTAAGATCCCAGTTGCTACTCAGCAAAGTAGATGTGGAACTGTGTTTTTGTGTAGTATGTTATGCCAATTGAGCTCTACGTCCCCTACGACCATGGTCCCAAGCCCACAGGTCTAACTGCTCACTCCTTTCAGGAAGCTGGCTGTGGCCAAGAAGTGACTACAACCTTGTCCCTTGTAAGCTGTACTATATACCTGGAAATTCTTATACAACATACAAATACACTTGTAGAAACATTAGATTTATTATATGTTTTGTGCTTTTACAGTCCAGATAAACACTTTGAAACAACCTGACAAAGGAATCTATCACTCTGAACCTCAATAGCATTTATATGCCCATAGGAATAAAAAAACTGTGACCCAGTTTCTCACAGACAGATATTCTCAGTACTAGGTGCCAACTGGGATAATTACACTAGTTATAGATAAGCTTGCAGCTCTCTCTGACAAATTTCCCATTTCATTACAGAAGGAATTATTCCATATTGTGGTATGTAATTCCCTCATTACCTCAAAAGTGTCAGAGTGTAAGGTGACATAGAACTTGAACATATCCAAACTCTCCTAAGAGGACAGTTTTAAGAGCTGTCTCATATCTGTTAGATTATCAATTAGTATCCAGTTTAATGAGTAAGTGTTATTACAATGGGCACAATTAATAGATGTATTATGTATAACAAAGTAACTCGGAGTCCCAGCTGACCTTAAGTAATTGAACCTTATTGATCAGGGTCTGCAACCTCCTGTCTCTCAGAGGATTCAGGACCATGTGTGGCTTTCTGACCAGTGATCACTAGTTTTAGTCTCTTGTCGGGAAAGCAGATGGCTGATACACAGGCTGCAGAAATGGTGAAAGAAATTAAGCAGTTTTAATTGTAATTTTTTTTTTAACCAGTCAGCCATTTACCTGGCTTTCTCTCTTTTCTCCCCTTTTCATCAATAATGCGTTCCTACACATAAAAGGAGCTAGGATCTTAATGGGAAATGTGGGCAAGGGGTTGATATGAATGTATGCTTGAAACTTTTTTCTTGGTCACTACTGTAGAGCCCCCCCTGCCTTGGTACTATGCTAGTGCCATACCCATTGCTGTCAAGTAGCTTCTGACTCATAGCAACCCTATACAACAGAGTAGAACTGCCCTGGAGGGTTTCCAAGGCTGTAATCTTCACAGAAACAGATCACCACATCTTTCTCCCGCAGAGTGACTGGTGGGTTTAAACTGCAGGGCTTTAAGAGGTCTGAGCAGAAGGAGGGGGTTCGTGCATCAAAGTGAGAGAGGGGCCCCAACAGGGTTTACCAGAGAGTAGGCCTTGAAGAGTGATCATAGTTATATAGGCAGAGGTCTGGGGAAAGAAGTTTCAAGCAAGGCATGCTGCAGGAGCAAAGGCATGGAAAGGGAGTAAGCTTGGCTAATGAAGAGAGCCCCACAATTGCAGTAGAGAATTATCTATTGGATTCCATGAGAGTAAGTATGTTAGATGGGACTGAGCAGGAGAGCCTAAAGTCTACGCTTTTATAAGGGAGTGAATCAGCCCAGTTTCCAGTCATAACCTCCTTCTCTATAAAACAGAGCCGATTAAAGTGGGATCCTTCCACAGGATGGTGCCCACACAGGATAGCTGCTGAGTTAATGGCAGATCATGTAAGTCCTCATGGCATTAAGAATCAGTGCAGTTGGTTCAGGAGGAGAGCAGTATTTGTTTAATAGGGTTTTAAGATTGGTCCCTCCAAAAGCCAAACCAAGCTCATTGCCATTGAATTGATGTCAACTCATAGTGACACTTTAGGGCAGAATAGAACACCCCACAGGGTTTCCAAAGCTCTGAATCTTTAGAGAAGCCAACTGCTTCATATTTCTCCCAAGGAGCAGCTGGTGGGTTTGAACTGTGAACCTTTTGGGTAGCAGCTGCCTGCTTTAACCATTATGCCACCAGAGCTCCCTGTTGGTCACTCATGGGTCTGACAAAGAGGTTGGAAGGGGTCAGAAGCTGGAAGCAAGTGCAGCCATCAGATCGAAGGCTTTTTCTGTTGTCCAGATGAGACACGATGAGGGACAGAATCAAAAGATATGAAGAAACCCTCAACTGGACTTGGTGATGGATTTTCAGCATGGGGACAGTGAATAGGAAAGTTTTAAAGATGATGTCAAGATTTCTTTCCTGTCTACACTTTCTTCTTTCCTGCTTATTTCATCCCCAAAGGCAGGCAAACCAATTTCTTATCTTGCTAACTAGGAATGTATTTCCCAGCCATACAGTCATTACACCACATTCCTCTACAGTGAAAGCCTGTGGCGTGTTCCATGGATGTATTTTAGTAAGCGCATATGCACGCAGTGTTTCATTATCCTTTAAAGCCCTTCTTACTCACATGATGCAGAGCTTAATGGAACCTTCGGTCAGGGGCACTTGCCGTAGGCTTGTCTGGAGCCAAGCAGGCTGTGGGAAAGTTCCCAGGCCAGAAGTCAAGGCAGGGGACAGGGTGCAGGCCCTTCTCATGCCCACCCATGTGGGTGGCCAAGTGTGAGTAGCTAAGATCACTCACAGCTCTTAGAAAGGGACTGCTTATAGAGTGTGAGTTTGCAGTGGGAGTTCCAGGGCACCAGGGACCATGCCTTTCACAGAGAGAGAAGAGTGACATGGACACATACCTTAGAATGAGACAGTTAGACGCAATCCCTCTAGCCTTTGGCAGAGTGAACCGTAACTTTTCTTCTGCTTGTACATAGATGATGTGTAACAATTGAAAATTTATTCTATTTTATTTTCTAAAACAGACCTCCCTTCTCCCAAAATGCCCCCCTCTTTAAAAAAAAAAGAAAAAAATAGAACAGAAAAAGAAACTTGGAAGCAAGTTTATATTGCAAAATGAACCCATTTAAAATACAATTTTATGAAATGTTGTGCCTTTGTTTTTTTCCAGATGCTCACTTAACACAGCAACCTGGGTGTAGTAAACCACAAAAAGCTACTTTAAAGCAGGGGGATTTGGCTTAAATCCACTGAAGCAGAGCTAAGGCTGAACGCTGATCTATCCATCCTTATTCCTTTTAATTATGCCTGGATGTTCCAATTCTCCCGGCAAATTTTTGAAATACTTGAGTACAGCAAGGTAGAGTTAAATACTGTTTAAGATGGCTGATTTGTTTCCTGCCTTGTAAAGAACACTGAAGCGATGTCTCAAAAGTTACCACCCTCCAGCACACCAGAACACTGCCAAGCTTTAAAAGCAATTAAGAGGTTAGAATTGGTAGGGTCCTCAAATTACAGAGATTAGAGACTCATTCTGGGGATGACAGATGATGCTAAGAACTAGGCAACCTATAGAACAAACCTCCTTCTCCCCTTTCCTGGAAGGTAGAGTTTCTTTGTCTGATCCAACTGGCCACGTGTGAGGCGGCATGTTGACAGGTAGATTTTCTTAAGTATCATCCATTAAAGTCTCCAGTCTCTTTGTGGGCCACATTAGGAGAAACCAAAATTGTCATGAATTAGAGCTAGTGTTTAGTCCAGACAGCCTCTGGGAGTTGAGGAGCATAAATATATACAATTTCAAAAGCTAGAGGTTCTGCCCTCCATATGGGGAGCTAATGAAATGCAAATCTGATACTTCAAGTATTGTTCTCACTCTGATTTTCAACTCCTTCTCTTTTAAATGCAAAACAGAAGGGCTTAGCAGAGCTGCTGCACCAGAAATTGCTTTCTTCAACTCAGTGTGAAAAGGACACAGAACAAATTTATTTATTTCTCTTATGAGCAGAGCACTTTTTGGGATGATTATGGATGTTTCCTCAACCATTTTGTTTTCATGAATGGCAATGTAAGCCTTTGGGCAATCTACTTCTGTAGTGATACAGCCTCAGAAACCCAAGGAGGGGTTGCTATGAGTCAGATCCAACTCCACGGCAGTGAGTTTGGTTTGGTTTTGGTTTGGCAATATTCTTGGCCTCTCCTGGTAGCACGATGGTGTTTGCACTTGAATTGGCTCAAGAGCCTTCAACAAACCAGTTGCCATTAAGTTGATCCTGATTCGTGGTGCCCCATGTGGGTCAGAGTAGAATTGTGCTGCATAGATCACGTCCTTTTTTCTGAGGTACCCCTGGGTGGACTTGAACCTGCAGCCTTTCATTTAGCAGCCAGATGTACAGCCATTTATACCACTCAGGGACTCCTCAAGAGTATTGTTGTTGTTATGTGCCGTGAAGTCGGACCCAACTCATAGCGACCCCTCCTTGGGTTTCCAAGGCAGTATCACTACAGTAGATTGCCCCATCTTCCTTCCGAGGAGTGGCTGGTGGGTTTGAACTGCCAGCCTTCTGGTTAGCAATCAAGTTCCTTAGCCACTATGCTACCAGAACATTAGCATCCTGGAACGTAGGGCTGCCTAGAGCATGTGCAATTGATACCTGATTCCCCTGTGTTGTACTTTATAAACTCAGGAGCCCTGGTGGTGTGGTGATTAAGTGCTCAGCTAGTAACTGAAATCTAATGCGAGAAAGATGTGACGGTCTCCTTCCATAAAGATTACGGGCTTGGAAACCCTATGGGACAATTCTACTCTGTCCTACGGGTTCACTACAAGTCAGAATCAACTCCACGGCAATGCATTGTCATTCTGGGGTACTTTACTCACACCAACTTAGCTGACTTGCTATCCACCATAATGTTCTGTTGAACATGTTCATGAGGCAAAGATTGTCCCAGGAATAATTACAAACAGTTGAGAGAATTCTACCCAGGTCCAGGTTGCTAGGCACAGCACAGGAGTTATAATGGAACTAGGTGATGAGAGTGGGGCTTATTTTTTTAACATGGCAAACTGACATTTTGCCTAGATGCTATCTTTGGCTTTAAGAACATGAAATAGAAAAAACAGTATAAGTACAACAGGATTCCCCATTTGTTTCTGCCCTTTCTTACTGACATATGAAACAGCATTCAGTTTAAATGGTAGGGTAGGTGGTTTTAACAAAACCATGTCAAAATCTAGAGAAAGGGACAAACCAGAGGTGCCTGCAGTGAGTTGTGGCTTGTCTAGCCCCACCTGGAGGTTCTTTTCTCTTTATGGGGGCCTTTATGCCCCCATAGACACACACTCATTTGGCCCTTTTGTTTATCTAGGAGAACATAGGTGAGTGTGTTCTTTACAGCTCTTTGGGTCAGAGTGTTTCAGCTTGTCATTTGATTCTCCCAAAGATCATAACCACCTTTAAAATAAGGACCACATCTTCCAATTTCTTTTTTTTTTTTTTAACTACTGCCTGGGCCTCATAGGTGTTGTATATGGAGAAGAAACCAGTGAAATAATGGGCATGAGAGTGCTTTAGGGCATGTTCGTGACAACCATATTAGAAGCACTTTAAGGATCAGATGACTGTACCGTAATTATTAGGTTATAAAAGTACTGTTGTTGTTGTTGTTGTTCTTGTTGTTATGTGCTGCTGAGTCGGACCCAACTCATAGTGACCCCTCCTTGGGTTTCTGAGGCAGTTATCACTACGGAAGTAGGTTGCCCAAGCTTCCTTCCGAGGAGTGGCTGGTGAGTTTGAACCGCCAGCCTTCTGGTTAGCAGTCAAGTGCCTTAGGCACTAGGCTACCAGAGCTCCCATAAAAGTACTAGTGCCTTTTTATTCTGTGTAACAAAAGTCTAGAAAAAAATCATCTGCTCTCTAGTCACTTCTGACTCGTGATGACCCCAAAAATGTCAGATGGAACTGTGCCCATAGGGTTCTCAGTTACTAATTTTTCAGAAGTAGATCACCAGGCCTTTCTTCCAGGGCACCTCCAGGTGAATTCCAACCTCCAACCTTTTGGTAACAGCCTAGCATATTAACCATTTGTACCACAGTTTATTGAAAGCTTTCTATGGCTAGACATCTTATGCTAAACAGTTTATATACATTACTTCAATTAATCCTCACCAAAATTCTTTCCCCCCGCCCCCCCTGAGGTATAAGTAAGTAGTGATGGTAGTGCTGGATGTTATTATCCCCTATTTTATACATGAGGAAACTTTAGCTTAATGAAAGCTTTTTCAAGAGTCACTGACCAGGAAACATCAGAACCAGGACTGAGGCCCAGCCAGTCAGATGAGTCAGATGCTAAGACCCTTGCTTTCAAGTGTTGTATATGACATGTGTATGCCTTGCTCTGTTTGTGTGTTTCTCTGTCTCCCACCCTGAATGTGATTCTTCTTGAAAAGCAAAGAATAGAGAAGAACATATCAAGTGAAATTAATGTGTCACATTAGAGGTAGGCTACAAGGAAGTAACATTTTAAAAGTAAGTGTGTGTCTAACACTTACAAATAAAACAAAGGAATGACTCTATTGTCACAGCGAATAATTAGAGTAAAATTTTTTGCCCTAATTAAGACAGTAGGTGGCATCTAAGAAATACATATTTTTGCAAGTATGTTTAATTTCGCAACTCTTATGTTTTAATATTTTATATTTTTTTGTCCTGATATTCAAGACATAAATCTCTAATTAATTAATTATTTAATTTGGGACAGACCGACAACAGATTTGTCTTTGCTTAAGTTCTTCCCTTTGAGGTATTGACTAGGAAAGCAATAATCATAAAAAGAGTTCAGCATTGGAAGTCAAAGGCCACTGCCACATGTTTGAATTTGGACAAATCATGTAGCTATTCTGAGTTTCTCTGTTGGTTAAAAACATGAGCATCACAGTTATTTTGAGGCTTGAGTGAAATAGTGTATGTGGAAAATACTCAACCATGAAGTGCACGTATGTTTTATTTTGTATGTTAACTGTTGTTCAGTTTATCAACAGTAACATATATAACCTTCTCAAGATCCCTTTTTAACCTGGCAGCAAACTTTAAACATTGCTGACGTACAATCAAGTTAAGAATTCAGTTCTCCCTCTCACCTGCAACTCTTGGATACTATAGATATAAAGGAAAATGACTGCATTTTCTTCTAATCCCTTGCTTAAGGAAACTAAATGATAGGACATAACAGCTTTCTTCTCTTGTGTCAGCAAAGCATTACAAAGCCCCAAAAGAATGTTAAAGCAGTTTCAAAACACTATTTTTAGGTGCAATATTGTCAAAAAATAAGCTTTCACTGAGAGATGTTGAGAAAAAAACTACTTGAAAACCAGCAGCTGGGGCAACGAACTAAATGATCTTGTATTAAATTTTAATATTCAAGCCAATATTGTTAACAACAAAATATTCTTTCTGCAGGTTAAAATTATCCAATGATGAAATCAAACGGGCAATTTTAACGATGGACGAGCAGGAGGATCTGCCCAAAGACATGTTGGAGCAGGTGAGCCACCAGACATATTCCAAAGCATAAGTACAGCTGATTTCCCACAAGGAATGGGCTTTGGAGAAAATCTGGTTTTTGCCGGTAGATTTATCCATCTGTGAACGAAGGGGGTTAAACTAGAGGTTGCGTGTTGCTATATTAGGAGACTTTATGACTTTACTCTTTTTGCTCTTCAAAAGGAGAAGGAACATCATGAATCTATCAAAATGCTTGGGACTTGCACTGCCAGATTCTGTCCCTCAAGCCACAGTTGTTATGCCTCAGTGAAAACTATTTAAAAAAAAAAAAAAAAAAGCATCCACTGCCATTGAATTGATTCCAACCCATAGCAACTCTTTAGGACAGAGTACAACTGCCCCACAGGGTGTCCAAGGCTGTAAATATTTATAGAAACAGACTGCCTCATCTTTCTCCCGCAGAGATGCTGGTGGGTTCAAACCACTGACCTTTTGGTTAGCAGCCCAGTGCTTTAACCACAGCACTGCTTATGTCTCAGTAGATTGTATGAGTCTACAAGCTTTCATAGGAAGTCTGCACTTCCCAGGAATATCTAGAATCTCACTAGCACTGTGATATCACAGACTATACTACAGAAACTGATGCATTACTGCATTCTTAATGCACCCAGAATGATGTCTTGGTACCCTATTCTCACAAGCATAGAGATGCTCTTAACCCCCAACACCGTCCTCTACATCTAAATCCTCTTTGATTTGAGATAAGGCAAGGCAGGCTGTAAAGTTCTGGGGGCTAAGCCTGTGTCTGTAAGTTCATAGTACCCTTTTGGGTCATAAATGCCAGGGCCAGCAGGTCGGTAATGTCACCTGCAGCATGCGCACATCCTTGTCCATGGCATGTGGACATACTGTCATTTTCTGTGGCAGGAAGGTCTCTCTTCCTGTAGTACTTGCACAACAGTCTCTCTTTAGCCACTCTGGCTGTGTCATGTGTTGTTCAGCAGCTTTGTTCAGTTGTCCCCCAAATGACAGTGTCGTTGAACTTGCAGATATTCTGGGGTTTATCACCCTCTCTGCCCCTGACCCCTTGGTCTGGGTCTAAATTCTTCTGTACTTAGTGGTGGGCCTCTCAGAATGTGTGAAGACAGCTCTATCTTTCCATCCCATTGTCTTTTGGAGGAATCGTATTCTGAGTGGTTCAGGTGGAGAGATCTATGCTTGTGAGACTCAGGTCCACTTGAGACTAATCATGGCCACAAGTGATCATGATCTGGCTGAACTTGAGATCTCATCTGCAGGGCCTTCTGCTCCTTGTCCTGTGTGAACCTCGGTGTGCTCAGCTCCCAAGAGCAGAGTAGAAACTGCCAACAGTGATCCTGGTGGTCTGGGTGCCTCGGGTAGAGTGTTTGCTCATCCACCTGTGTATTTTCCATGGTTCTCACTGTCCTCAAGGGCCGGAGACCCAAAGCAGGAAGGAGTGATGTGTTATATACTTGGTCACCACACCTCAAAAATGGACCTGCCCCTCCCTGAAACCTCTGCAGCTGGATTGTCCTTGGCGAAAACCCTGACACATAGAAGTGGGAAAATTTTCATGTTGTCCTTAAAGTTTGACTTAGTTTTCAAAATAGTTAATAGCTGTGTTTGAAGTTCAGATGCCTTGTGTGTGCGTAGTTTAAAAGTAATTCTTAAACCTAAACATTTTTTTTTTTAGAGTGTTTTATGGTTCCTTCACACACTCTGCCTTCCCTCACGGGTATACCAATCAAAACGTCTCCGCCCTAAAAGCACGGAGCCCTGAAAGCATGGAGTCCAGCTCACTGCCCTCCCTGGCTCACAGGTGACCCGCATCCTAGGTGCCGGAGCAGATGTTGCTCACAGAGGGAAGAACTGTGTGTGAAGCTGCTTTAGTCCTTAGGCCTTCAGCTCCTACGGACAGTGTCCTGTTTTAAATTCCACATGATCTGTTTACTGTGAAACTGCATCCAACAAAATTCCTCCTTTAGGGAAAGGATTTCAAAATCCTGCCAAAAAGGCTTGCAGTGCAAATAGAATGTACTTCAAATAAACACACGTAAGAACGTCGGCCTACTGAAGCCGGCTCTTGCCAAGCAGGCAATTTTTGACCTGGGCCCTCCTGATCCTTCCGTGTGTGTTTCACTTCTGAGCATCTCCCAACATGCTTGCTTCCCCTCCATTCCACTGCTCTCCCTCTGGTTCCGTTTCCTTGCCAGACAAACACTGAAGCCAGTATCTCCTTACTCCTTACTCCTATTGATGGCTTGCTTTGGGGCCACATTCATTCTCTCCTCTCCTGTTCCTCTTTAACTGCTGCTGTTGTCCCCCTCAAGGTCCTTGGTGGTGTAGTTTGCCCTCGATTACTAACTGAAAGGTTGGTGGTTCCAACCCACCAGCTGCACCACGGAAGAAAGCCCTGGTGATCTACATCTGTAAGATGACAGCCATCAAAAGTCCGACAGAGCAGCTCCACTCAGGTGCTCGTGGGGCAGCCAGGAGTCGGAATTGACTCAAAAGCAGCAAGTTTGGTGGCGTTTTTTTTTTTTTTTTGGTTGTCCCCCTCAGATGACAAGGGGACACTACATGGTTTAAAATCAAGAAGGGAGTACATCAGGGTTGTATTCTTCTCCACACTTATTCAATCTATATGCTGAGCAAATAATCCGAGAAGCTGGACTATATGAAGAAAAACGTGGTATCAGGATTGGAGGAAGAATCATTAACAACCTGAGATATGCAGACGATACAACTTTGCTTGCTGAAAGTGAGGATGACTTAAGGCACCTACTGATGAAGGTTGAAGAATACAGTCTGCAGTATGGATTACATTTCAATATAAAGAAAACAAAAATCCTCACAACTGGACCAATGAGCAGCATCACAATAAATAGAGAGAAGATTGAGGTTGTCAAAGAATTCACATTGCTTGGTTCTACAGTCAATGCCAACAGAAGCAGCAGTCAGGACATAGACAACATGTAGCATTGGGAAAGTCAATTGCGAAGGAACTGTATCAAGTGCTGAGGAGCAAGGATATCTCCTTGAGGTCTAAGGTGCGCCTGACACAAGCCATGATATTTCCAATCGCCTCGTATGCATGTGAGAGCTGGACAATGAATAAGGAAGACCGAAGAAGAGTTGATGCTTTTGAGTTGTGGTGCTGGCGAAGAATGCTGAAAGTACCATGGACTGCTAAAAGAACTAACAGATCTGTCCTGGAGGAAGTGCAGCCAGAATGCTCCTTGGAAGCAAGAATGGCCAGACTTCGTCGCACCTATTTTGATCATGTTGTCAGAAGGGACCATTCCCTGGAGAAGGATGTCATGCTTGGTAGGGTGGAGGGTCAACGAAAGAGGGGGAGGCCTTCAATGAGATGGATTGACACGGTGGCTGCAATGATGGGCTCAAGTATAGCAGGGATTGTGGGGCTGGCGCAGGATTGGGCAGTGTTTTGTTCTGCTGTGCATGGGGTTGCTATGAGTCGGAAACGACTCAACGGCACTTAACAACAACAACAGATGAGATGAACACACTGCTCTTGTTCTGAATACATTCCTTTCTGCTTACTCCCCAGCATGTGCATAAGTTTTCATTCCTCTCTTAAAACTATCCAAGCAGTCTTTTCCTCCTCCCCTTTGAGGGGATGGAGTTTTTGCATGTTCCTCTTAACTGTGCTCTTGCAAGAAATGGTAGGGAGCTAGTGATTGTGTTATTCTGTTACCCAGGGGCTCAGCACAGCTAGTTGGGGCAGAGACAGGAGAGGGCCCTGGGGGAAGTTTGCAGACCTGTGAAAGGATCCTTGGGACCAGAATAGATTTTCTTGGCCAGTAGGTAAAAATCTGAACTAACTCAAGAAAAAAGCCTTTCTCCCCTTTTCTCTTATTCCTTTTTCCTTGCCCTACTATCATCCCTCCCCTCATTAAGGAGGAGCAAAAACATATATGTCCTGACCCCAGTCACCATTTGAGCACAGGAACATAAATGCCTAGATTCCGTCCAGCTGGAACCCACAATTTCCTGCCACAGACCTATGAAATTCCTAGCAACCATTTCTGTTTCTAACCACAAGTCATCCCTTTAGGAAAGAGGGGGCATCCCCTGCCTCTGCTCTGGCCCCCTCCTTCCCTTTCTCAGGGACCCAGCCAAACGACTGTCCCTCTCTGGATCTTCAGCCTCTCTCTCTCTCTCTCTCTCTCTCGTTCTCTTGCTGGATACTTGCTCAAGTCTAAGCCCTTAAAATGTGTGTATGTGTGCATACACGTACACACACACCTTAAACACAGTGCCTCCGTCTGGCTGTTTCCTTTCTCTTTCCTGCCATAGCCAGGTTCTTGAAAGCTTGTCCATACTCACCTCTGTTCACTCTTCTTCAACCCACAACAGTCTGTCTTCCTCACCTCCCAAAAGCTGCTTTCACTAAGGACACTCCTTGTTGCCAAAGCCAGCAGACACCAGGCTGTCTTTATTTTCCTTGATTTCTTGGTGACACTGTTGACTATTTCCTGTGATTAAATGCTTTCTTCCCTGGCCCTGTTATACCATGTAGACCTCTCTGGCTTCCCCTTCATTACATCTTTTGAAGGTTCTTCTCCTTGTTCCCATTCCTTATAGGCTGGGTTTGCTCCTGATCCTGCTTTTTTCCTCTGATTATTTTACATCCATGGATTCAGTACCCTTCATGTCACAACCAACACTAATTCATTGTCTTACATTTATCCAGCTTCCTTTGCCATAAATCACTACTTGGTCCTCTTGCTAGTACTTCAGACACTAAAACCCCCTTATTCCCCACACCATACCATCTTCATACCTCCAACCATCTCTTCCTCAGTTCCCTATTACATCCTGTCCACTATATGGCCTAAGCCAGAAGCCATGCTTGACTCCTTGAGCCTCACCTACCACAACCATGCATCAGTAAGTCAGGCCACATGGTACAGTCAGCATGCTCAGCTGCTAACCAAAAAGTTGAAAGTTCAAGTCCACCCAGGGAAGCCTCAGAAGAAAGGGCTGATGGCTTACTTCTGAAAACTCAGACACTGTAAACCCTATAGAGTACAGTTCTATTCTGGAGTACACAGAGTCGCCATGAGTTGGAATCAACTTGACAGCAACTGGTTTGAAATGGCTCTAGAGTCTGTCCACTGCCTGCACACAGTCCAGGTCACTATTATTTCTCACCCGGATTATTGCACTAATTGCCTACCCATGCACCTTAACACTTCTGGTCTGTTCTAATTATTTCTCCATTTTGTAAGTGTGGTAAACTTTTATAAATACAAACTCGTTTCCCTACCAAATTCTTTTGTTATATCCCATTGTACCTCAAATAAAGTCTAAACTTCTTATAAGGCCCTTGTCTTTTCTCCTGCCTCATTTCTTGCTACTCCCTGACCTTCCCCCCTTCCCTATTCTTCTTCCTCAACCTGTTACAGCCATTTCTTCACCTGCCTGAGTGTTGTACAATGCAGTTCAGACCCTGGGGCACAATGTACTCTCCTTGGAACATATTTCCAGCTTCTTACTTTACCTCTTCCTCTATAATTCTGTTCTCTTTCTCTGCTGCCCAGATGAACTGCCTTATATTTTCTTTGTTCTCTCAGTTAAATCCAAAAAACATTTGCAAATATACAAAATAGACCACCCCTTCTCCTCCCCCCCCCCCCCCCCATTGCTAACATCATGTTATAGGGAGGATCTTGAAGTCAGGGAGTCACTGTGGTTTGTTTGCTTTGGTGTTTTTTTTTTTTTTTTTTAATCCAAAATACACATGCACAAATTTGTACCTTCAAAGTAAATCATACGTATACAGAAGTGCTTTTTCAACTTTAAATATTGTTGGCATTTCTTCTATATTTCATGCACAATACAATATGAAATCAAAAAACTTCAAATCCCTGTCATCCAGCTCTATATGGAACAAATAAAAAAAAAGGGAGGAGGTGGAAACAGATAAGCTGGACAAATAAGCAAGTCAAATGGAAAATACACATAGAATTACTCATCCCAGCATGATATAATAAAGAAAAGCAGAGCTGGGAGTCAAAGACCTAGCTAGGTTCTATTACATGAACTTGCTTGTAATCCTGAGTGACCTGCTTAATCTCTGGGGACCTCAGTTTTATCATCTAGAGTGAGAGGGCTGAAGTAAATTATCTCTAAGGCCTCTCCAAGTGTCCATACAAAGTGTGTCCTGGTAATGAACTTCCATAATTCTGATTTGAGAGGCAGTATCTAATAGAAAGGTGTCAGGAATGCATCTTACCTCCATTTAGCTATTTTCAGATGAAAATGGAAAGCTTTGATCATTTCTGTTCTATCTTAACAATAACTTGTGACAAACTGGAAGAGTGAAAAAGTTACTGCAGGGATTTAAGTTATAAACTTCAGTTTTAATATTTGTGTGAACTTTTTAGCTCTTGAAATTTGTTCCTGAAAAAGGTGACATTGACCTGTTGGAGGAGCATAAACATGAACTGGATCGAATGGCCAAAGCTGATAGATTCCTTTTTGAGATGAGCCGGTGAGTTTGAAAATGTTTTAAAAAATGCAACTTACCTGTCTAAGTAAGTTAACCTTCAATTCAGGAGGAGGTTTGGGCCACTTAACCTGGCATCACTTGAAGACTCTTAAGATTCCAAAAGGAATCCCAACCTGGTGTGAATGGCTAAGCATTTGATGATTAATTAAAAGGTTTGCAGTTCAAACCCGTCCACAGGCAGCTTGGAAAGAAGGGCTGGAGATCTGCTTGTGAAAGCCTTGAAAACCCTAGAGGGTGCAGTTCCCGTTTGCATACGTGGGGTAGATGGGAGTCGGAATTCACTCGGCAGCAGCCAGCAAGAGCAAGACCCTAAAATCTCCTCGAGTCTGAGCTACATAGAGGTTGATTGTTTTGTTGGAGTCTTTGACCATGGATAAGCCAGAGTCAGGATTTCTTCACAATTCTCTCTCTCTCTCTCTCTCTGGACCTCTTAGGCTCATGTGATTTGGCCTAGTAAATACATAATTTTTTTTCTGGTTCCCATCAGTGTTAGTCTCCTCACCACTTTGATTTCTTGGGATGGTGTTTCACATCTCCTAATGCCTCGCTATCTAAAAGTTGTAAAATAGAAAAAAAAAAAAAAAAGCCAAACCTGAGAGCCCACATCACTGAAGAGCAGCTGACAGGGTGTCAAATCCTAACACTTGGCAAACATCCCTAATCCATCATGCACTGTTCCTCATGGAGCCTTGGCAGAAGCCTGAGCCCATCTCCAGAAACCCCTACAGGCAGCACTGCTTAGTAATGGGATTTGGCATGAGAGTTGCGTCTGTTTGCCATCCTAGGCCTAGAAAATTGATTCTGCATTAGAGATAGACCAATGGTTTGAAACTTTCATTCAACCTCAGAGCAAAACTCTTCTCCTGAGTGCCAAAGGCCTACAAATGAAGCTTAGGTGACCATGTCTCTCACTTCATTTCTTCCATGCCCAGACTTATTATTATTATTATTATTATTGCTACATCTCAACTTGTCTATACTACTCTAGGATAAAGGATGGTTGTTCTGGTTACCTCGTGCCACTCTGACAAGAATATACCATATATGGGAAGGCTTTAGCAAACAAGAGTTTATTCTTTTACAGTTTGGAGACTTTAAATCCAAGTTCAAAGTGCCAGGCACTGGGGGCTGGGTGAAAGCCCCTCAACCTTGAGCTTCAGCTCTGCCTCCTGCTCCAGATCTACTAGAGCTAGAGGTGTTTCTTCATTTCAGACAGCTGCTGGCTGCTGAGATTGACAAGCCCAAGGTTGGCAAGTAAAAAGGCACAGTCCTGATGTTACCAAACCACGTGGCAAGCCATTAATTCAAGTCCATTGAAAGTCCCAAGGTTGGCAGAGCATGGCAGGCTGCTGAACAGTGACACAGCTACATGCAGGGTTCAAGTGTGCCATAAGCCTGAGACCATGCCCAAAGCTACTGCTTATATACAGGAAGCAGACCACATCCCTAAAGCAACTACTCAGCTGCTTGTGGTAGATCCCACCATGGAGCTGATTGCTAGTCTCATCATGGGGAATAACTACCACCAGCTTCCCAGCCACTCAGCCAGGCCCAGCCAAGTCAACACACAAACTTAACTACCATAATGGTCTTAAAATTTTGAAATGTGCACCAAACAATACTATGTATACACAAATAGATGGCCACTTCCTGTAGTTGCCACTTATTTTATTAAGTGTCTGGATCTTTGCATGTATCGTCCCATTTAATCCTTCTAGCTGCATTGCCAGGTAGACTGTTTTCTCATCTCTGGATGAGAAAAATGAAACTTAGGCAGTTCAGGTACCTGCTCAAGGTCACCCGAGGAGAGGAGAACCTGGTCTCTAAAAGAGGTCTGTCTGATTGTGGTCTTAGTTCTGGAGAAAGGGCTGGTGCCTAGACCTACTGGAGCCCCTGGGAGAGCAAATAAGGAGATAACTATGAAGAAAGAGGAGGATTTGGGGATGACACAAGTGAGGAGACTCTAGATGTTGGAGACAAGCTTGACTTTACAGTTTTGCCAAAGGCTAAACTAGGACATAGTAAGGAGCAAGGCAGAAGTGTAGGGAATTGTCCTTTATTTGCAGCACAGTGAGTCGTCTTTGCATTTTCATTCCTTTGATTTCATCTTTGTTCAAAAGAGCTAGTGGGACTTTGAAGAGGAAAGTGGACTTTAGTTAACAGCAGCCAGCTCTCCCTTTCTTTCATTGGTCACTTTATTTGGTTGGGAGCGAATGGCTCTGCTGCAATACCCTGAACTCCCCTGTGGGTCATATGGAAATGGCTTGCCAGGCAAAGGTGCCTGAGTACTCTGAGGACCTGTGCACCTGTGGGATGAAGCTCTGTGTGTGTTTGGGAGGGGGAGGGAGTGGGGAGTGCCTCAAGAGGCCTCTGCTTCTGTCCCTATATGTGTATTAAATGAACAATAGTTATCTGTGCTTACTCTTACAGAATCAACCATTATCAGCAAAGGTTGCAGTCACTGTACTTCAAAAAGAAGTTTGCAGAACGTGTGGCAGAAGTTAAACCTAAAGTGGAAGGTAAAGCAAGCTGCCTAGCTTGGAAATGATGTTGGTTTTAAATGCCAGTTTGCAAGTACAATCCAAATGTGTACAGTAAACATGATCCCTTTGGGGATTTTTCACAGGAGAGCTTTTGAAATTCTGATGGAAAAGTACTTAAGGGCAGCACTGGGCCTACTGGTCTGGCCTGGGCTGTGCTGTAACACACCTTCTGGGCTCCTCTGTAGTTTTAGGCTTTTTACCACATTAGTCTTTGGTGAGGAATTAATTTGACCTATGCAATCTACTTCCATAGTGATACTGCCTTGGAAACCCAAGGAGGGGTTGGCTATGAGTCGTGGCCGACTCGACAGCACATAACAACAACAATAACATACTAGCATTAAACCAGGAGCTCTGGTAGCATAGTGCTTAAGGCACTTGACTGCTAACCAGAAGGCTGGCAGTTCAAATCCACCAGCAGCCACTCCCTGGAAGGAAGATGGGGCAATCTACTTCCGTAGTGATACTGCCTTGGAAACCCAAAGAGGGGTCACTATGAGTTGGGTCTGACTCGACGGCACACAACAACAGCATTAAACCAGTTATTAGCTTCATTGCTACAAGGTCTTACTAGATTTTTCTGAAGGAAAATTCGAGGCCATTTTATGGTTTGATTTTGAAGCTGTTGAATTTTCAAATGTTTGAAATGTGGGCAAAACAACTAAAGAGCACAGCCACATGGCTGGAACCTAGGCTTCCCTGGGGTCCTGATCCCTATGTGACACTTCCAAGCTGTATCTTGTAACAAATTTGGCCATTTTTTCTGTCATTGGACTTGATCAGTAAACCTGTTGATCTGACTCAAGTCAATGATGCCTGAGTAAATGTTCGCAAAAGAATGTGAGAAATGCAATCATTATTGTATGAATTACACTAAATACTTTAGGTTGATGAATCTGCCAAGAAAAAGACTGAATAAGGGTAGGATTTTGTAGTCAGGTAGGGAGCCCTGGTAGCATAGTGGATAAGGCATTTGGCTGCTAACTACAAGGTCAGTGGTTCAAACCCAGCAGCTGCTCCAGGGGAGATGGGCAATCTACTTCTGTAAAGATTTATAGCCTTGGAAACCCAGTGGGGTCTGTATGAATCAGAATCAACTCAATGGCAGTGAGTTTTGTTTTCGTTTATTGTTAACTTTTAACAACTTAAACTGGCCCTACCTGCCCCCTTGTTCTTTGCTCTAGTGTAGGATGTTTTAAAACTATTCATTGGTAGTCTAATGACCCAATCTTACACCTTCAATACCTGTTCTGAGGTTGTGGATTTAGGATGCGTATTGCTGAAAAGTTTCGGTTGTAATTGTGTTTTTATGTTTTGTTTTGAAGCAATTCGTTCTGGCTCAGAAGAGGTGTTTAAGAGCAGTGCCCTGAGGCAGTTGCTAGAAGTGGTTTTGGCGTTTGGGAATTATATGAATAAAGGCCAAAGAGGCAATGCATATGGATTCAAGATATCTAGCCTAAATAAGATTGCTGACACAAAATCCAGTATTGACAAGTAAGTATGTCCTTTGAAAAAATTAGGGTGACCATTTTCACTTCCTGATGTTAAAGAAAATTTTGATCATGTAAGATTAATTATATATCTGAGCTCTATTTTACTTTCAGCATCTTGAGAAGCTGGCTAGTAATCTTGATGGTCTAAAGTGGTTCTTGTGAGGGGACACGGGGCAGGGCTTGCTTTCTGTGGCTGTTGTGATTAAAGAGCCTTTAATGGTGAAGCACTTGGCTGCTAACCAAAAGGCTGGCAGTTTGAATCCACTCACTGGCTCCACAGGAGAAAAGACAATTTGTGATGGGCTCATACAAACATCATTGCAGTAGTCCAAGATTGGTTCAGGCTATCCTGGGAGTTCCAGAGTAGGGCTTCTCATTCCCATTAGTACATAACGGCACTCCCTTTCTAAAAGTGCAGAGAAAATATGTCCCTGAGTCCATTGCATTAAACTAGTCCAAGAACAGCAAACCTACGACAAGAATTTTGTCAATGTGGTATTAGCAAACTAAGGGAGAGAGAGAGCAATCCATTTTTTCCTCTTGCCCCTGGAAATTTGCCGGGGGGAAAAAAGTACCTTTGGATTTGGGATGAGTTTATCCTTATCCTTGTAGGTTGCATTCTTATAGTTTTCTCATGATGCATTCAACTAATAGCCTTTTATTGAGCAACTACCAGGTAAGGGGATCTGTAGACAGTTTTTAAACTTTAAAGTATCCTTTTTGTGAGCTGTTACCAGGAAAATGGTCACATAGATTCTGTTGGACATTGACAGTATCTGTTTATGGGTTCTACATCCGTTATGGCTTAGAGCTACGTAGTTAGTCACCTTTGCTTCCTTGCTTGCTTTTTTTTTTTGAATTGTGATTTGGATGAAAGTTTACAGAGCAAATTGATTTCCACTCAATAATTCATACACATTTGTTTTGTGACTTTCATCACTGCCATCTCCAGGGTGTCACAGCACTCCTCCCACTTCCTCCCTCTGTTTACCTTTTCCCTTTGTCCTCCTTCCCTAGCTCTTCCTGCCTTCTCAGCTTTATTGCTGGGCCAGTGCTGCCCTTTTACTCTCATGGTTGATTGTTCTGATGAGGGCTTACCACTCTGTTCTTGTTCACCTTATAGGCTGAAAGTTGAACCACAGGGGTGAATTCAGTTTCAGGCTTGAATGGTGTCTAAAGGCCATAGTTTTGGGGGTTCATCAGTGTCTATCAGACCAGTAAGCCTGGTATTTTTTTTTATGATTTTGTGTTTTGTTCCACATTTTTCTCTCACTATATCTAGGACTTCCTATTGTGATCTCTTTCAGAGTGGTCAGCAGTGGTAGCTGGTAGCCAGATACCATCTAGTTCTTCTAATCTCAAGGTCATGGAGGTTGGGGTGGATATTCAAATTTTTACAAATTATTAAATGTGTATCTAAGAATATACACAGGAAATGGTTCGTTTCTAGATTCTAAGACGACATGTAGTTTTTTTAATTGTTAAGGTTATTTTTGCCCTAGATATGAAGACAACCCAGAACACTACCCTGTAGTGTTTATAGTTTAGGGTTTGGGGACTTGTGCATGGACCTGGGGGAGAACATACTTTACACTGCAGCCATTAAGAGACAGTGTTTTAAAGCAAGGCCAAGAACTGTGTACCAGGGGAAAAAACTGACAGTGGATATGTACTAGAATGTGAAGTTTGTTGGATTATACCTTGCAGGTAGTATATGGTAAGGAGCTCTGGTGACATAGTGCCTAAGGCATTTGACTGCTGACCAGAAGGTTGGAGGTTCAAACCAACCAGCCACTTCTTGGAAGGAAGATGGGGCAAGCTATTTCAGTAAAGATTTACTGCCTTGGAAACCCAATGATGGACATTATGAGTTGGAATTGACTCGATGACAGTGGGTTTGGTTTAGTGGCCTTAGATATATAGGAAAAGTTATGATGTATAAATGGATTTTGGCTTTTGCTATTCAGCTCCAAAGACTCATTAAAATGCTTCCTAGAAAGTGAACAGACTCTTATTGTAGGCACTGAGATGTGAAAATGCTTTTGGTGTGATTTAACAGACAGAGTCATTAGGCCCATTAACTCTAGTTTCTTTGAAAGCTTTCTTTCTCTGAGATTCTCACTGACTTCAAAGGAACTTGCACAATTGTTTCTTAAGGTACGCTTCTCTGTACCAGGATTCTCCTTAGAAATATGGGCTGTTCACTCTAATTATTCCTAATTAGTGAGGCTGTTTACCCTATATTTTCTATGGCATTAGTGAAGCATATTGTTATGACAACTCTGAATCTGAGAAGAAATAAGCAATGTGTTAAATTACAGGGTTAAACCTTATTTTTACATCTTGAAGAGGTAGATTCTCATTAACAACCTGTGATATAACAGATAGCATGACCTTGATTGCTGAAAGTGAAGAAGAGTTGAAGCACTTATTGATGAAGATCAAAGACTACGGCCTGCAGTATGTATTATACCTCAAGATAAAGAAAATGAAAATCCCCACAACTGGATCAATAAGTAATATCACAATAAATGGAGAGAAGATTGAAGTTGTAAAGGATTTCACTTTACTTGGATCCACAATCAATGCCCATGGGAGCAGCAGTCAAGAAATCAAATGATATATTACACTTGGCAAATCTGCTGCAAAAGACCTCTTTAAAGCATTAAAGAGCAAAGATGTCACTTTGAAGGCTAGGGTGCACCTTGACCCAAGTATTTTCAGTAGCCTTATATGCATGTGAGAGCTGGACAATGAATGCATAGGGAAGACCAAAGAGGAGTTGATGCCTTTAAATTATAGTGTTGATGAAGAATACTGCAAATATCATGCACTGCCAGAAGAACAAACAAATCCGTGTTAGAAGAAGTACAGCCAGAAAGCTCCTTAGAAATGGGGATGGTGAGACCTCCTCTCATGTACTTTGGACAGATTACCAGAAGGGACCAGTCCCTGGAGAAGGATATCATGCTTGGTAAGGTAAAGAGTCAGTACAAAAGAGGAAACCTTCACCAAGATGGATTGACACAGTGGCTGCAACAATAGGCTCAGGCACGGGAAGGATTGTGAGGATGGCGCAGGACCAGGCAGTGTTTCGTTCCTTTATGCATAGACTTGCTATGAGTTGGACCCAACTCCATGGCACCTAACCCGAACAACAAGGTCACAATTAGCAATATATTTGGCCATACAAGTATTTTACATCTATTCTATTGGTCTGTCTAAATCTCTACCAAAATACGGATTTCATTTGGAGGTTGTATTGTTTGCCTGTAAAAACAACCATCTCTGTTTTGGAAGCATGTTCTCTTCAATGGGGCGTGCAGATTTGAGAGGAAGGAAATCCTTACTACCAATGAGATCAACAACACCGTTACAGAAGAAGGCAACTCACTCACGCCTGGAACTTTCTATGTGACTGTCTGCTTGTTGCTAGGAGCCCTGATGGCACTGTGGTTAAAGCATCATCAGGCTGCTAACCAAAAGATTGAACCCACCAGCTGCTCCATGGGAGAAAGATGAAGCATTCTGCTTCTGAAAAGATTTACAGGCTTGGAAACCCTATGGGGCAGTTCTACTCTGTCCTATACGGTCACTATGAGTCAGAATTGACACAATGGCAGTGAGTTTGGGTTTTGGATCTGCTTGTTGAGGTTACTACAGAGTTTATCTAGGATAATACCCACTTGAAAGAATAAATTGAAACGGTTTCTCTTTTTACCCATGAATATTTGGTCCTCAAAGTTATCATCTGTGTCTTATAAACACATCATTGCATTAGAGTCACAATGGTTTGCTATAATCAATCATTCACTAAATGTTCGTTAAATTTCATCTAATCAAACTGCATGAAAGGTGAGACAATCCTCAAGAAGAGGGTATATTTAGTCCATATTGAAGGCTTAAGTTACTGTTAATCACCAGGGAATAATCAAATGTGTGGCTGTTGAGTTTTTTTGTTATTCTTTCTTCATATATTTGTATTCAGTCAAATGAAATGTTGTTTAGATAGCAAACAAATATGGGAGATCTGATCTGGTTTTAAGCCTTTGTACACTAAGAAAGTTATATGTGGTTAATTACATTAATTGAAATTTCTCTAAATAATGTAGCATTTCTCTAAAATAAATGAAGAAAAGTAACTCTGCTCTTTCTTGCAATGGAAGGAGCTTTGGTGGCATACTCATTAAAGCATTCACCTGGTAACCAAAAGGTCAGCTATTTGAACCCATCAGCTGCTCCATGGGAGAAAGATGGGGTAGTCTGATTCTGTAAAGATTTACAGCCTTGGACACACTATGGGGCAGTTCTACTCTGTCCGATAGGGTTGCTATGAATCAGAATTGACTCGCAGGCAGTGGTTTTGGGCTTTTCTTGTAATGATAACTGGGATTTCACCTCGTCACTCTGCGACTCGGGTGGTAGTAGGCACATGGGCAGACACATAGATTCTATGAACAGCAACAATGAAATGGAATGACGTAGCTGAGTATCTGCAAAATAAATGGCATTATTGACTACTGTTTTACTTTGCTGGGTTTTGCTTTGTGTTTCTTAATTATTGAGAGCAAGGAAAAAAAGGAATTTAAAACAAATGTGAGCTCCCTGGGAGATTCAGAGGAATAGGATTGCACTGTCTCTATGAGCCACAAGGATTTTCATTGTTACAGAAAAGAAAGCAATTTGAAAACTCTGGTTCAGTTTATTTGAAGGTGGTGGGAGTACTGTGACTTGGCATTGTGAATTAGCAACCTCTTTTAAATTATGGAAATGTTCTTAAAGAAATGCATTTGTATCCTCCTTATTATAGTTACTTCAATAGACTAGTGGTTCTTGATCCTGGCTGTATATTAGAATCACCAGGGAGTTTTTCAAAAAATACCCATGCCTGACCCCACCTCATCCAATTAAGTGAATCCCAGGGGTGGGCCCAGGCATGTGGGATCCAGGTGATTGTAATGTTCAACAGAGTCAGGCACAAGAGGACCAGACTAGCACAGCTCTGCCTAACAGATAGTGTTATCAGACGCCCGCCTTTTCAATACAGGTCATTCCAGGTTCAGCCCTGTCACCACAGCAGTGGGAGCTGGCACAGCCAACTGTTATAACTACTAAGGGTTATGCAGTTATGAGCTGAAATGTTGCTAAAAGTAGGAAGTAGGCTCATGGCTGCAAGGATGTTATAGACATGACTGACTAATTCTGGCCCATTTCCAGGTTCAGCCCTGAAATAAGAGAAGGGGTATCCTAACCTTCTGACCATTCTTGGCTGAAACAGCAAAACAAATTAGTCAGAGGTTTTAATGGGAGGAAGAAAAGGTTATCATGGAATTTTAAAGTTAGAAGAAAACTTCAATGTGCATTATCAAATTATCATCAATGGGATGCTGTTCTATGCTTTTAAGCATGAAAATAGCTATGCTCTTGAGTGAATTAAACATCTCTTTATCCGTACTCCACCCCACCCAATACTGCTTGTTCTGAACTCGCAGGGACACCCCATCGTTGGTGGCTCTGCTGTCAACGGTAGATTTCATCTTGTCCCCATCAGGAGTGATTCAGCTTCCCTTCCATCACTTATCACCTTACCCAGATTTTGAAGGATGCTCATTAGGGATCAAAGACGGTTACCTTTTTTTTTTTTTTTAATAGAAAATGTGTGCTTCTTTTTTATATATATTTATACAAATCACACACTGGCTCTCCTTTCCTCCTCTTTCGAGAATCCCTGCCTTTCAAGAACTTGCAATAATCAATGCAAGACTGTGGTGTTCCTGTGGGTCCAACAGCTTGCCCATATAATCATATGCAGGCTCTGGTTGATGCTTTCCTTCTTTGTTTCTAGGAACATTACCCTTTTGCACTATCTCATAACTATTGTGGAAAAGAAGTACCCCAAGGTTCTCAATCTAAATGAAGAATTGCGGGATATTCCTGAAGCAGCAAAAGTAAAGTAAGAACTTACAGTGAACTATTTTAGTTTTTAAATCATTTGGACCGTACTTTCACCGTGGCTATCCTTAGCACTGCATAAAGAGGGTCCTTCTGTTTGGTCCCCCCCCCCCGCCCCCGAGCATGACATGAAGGAAAGTTTGAATCGTATCCAAATCACTCCAATGTGTTACAAGGTTTTAAATATATTTTTGTTCTAGCTCCTTTGGAATAGCACTGCACGCAATTTTTAACTTTCACAAAACCTAATTTTCTGCGCTTATTAAGAATATAGGACAGGAATGTGGTTTCACTAGTACTGTTCAAAGGTGCTTCTGTTAAAATACAGGTAGGAGCATTCTTAGTCAAATAAGGATATGTGGCTAAGGAAGTGGGAAGCCTAGGTGGAAGGGTGTTGCCGGTAATTTTCACATATGCACACACTCCCAGAAACCAAGGCAACCAATTAATGGAAAGCAGTCTTATGCAAATAGAGAAACTAAAAATAAAATGGAAAGTTTCCAAGCATTTTACCACAAATTTCACACCATGTTTCAAGACTGGGATTGGGCAGATTTCCCGGCCTTGTTCTTCCCTCCCCCTTTACCTCCTTTTTCTTCCAAACATATATTTAAACTGCATCCTTTTGCAGTGAATTTGAAAAGCATGATGAGCAGGCTAAGTTTTCCCCTCTGTAGAGTTTGGTAGAAATGTACTATGTCAGGCATGAAGTTTTTTAAAAAATTAAAGTCTTGGTCAATTTGTTTCACACGCTGTGAATTATTTGCAAGGATTAAGTTATCTCTAGCATAGTGGCTAAGACACTTGCCTGCTAACCAGACGGGCGGGGGGTTCAAACCCACCAGCCACTCCTCGGAAGGAAGGTTGGGCAATCCTACTTCCGTAGTGATACTGCCTCGGAAACCCAAGGAGGGGTCGCTATGAGTCGGGGCTGACTCGACGGCACACAACAACAACAACAACAACAATGTTTAAAAGCCATTGAACAGAAGGCACTTTGGGAAAAAGCCGAGAAACTTGTTCTATAAAACAAGACAATGAAAATAAAAACTACTCAGTCAACTTTAAGAAAAATCATTGCTGATTGAAATTTAAGCGATTACCTTGTAACCTTCGTATTAGCAGACTTAGGTGGAGGGTAATACACTAATGATAAAGAAGGGCAAGGGGAAAGTGACTGTGGATGAGCCACTTTCTTTTTTTTACTTGTTCAGAGGAAGCCAAGTACAGCAGGAAACTTATTTCTGCATTTATGTATCCACATATAGTGATTTGCTTAAGTAAGATGTTTGTGAGATTGAAACATAAAATGTTTTTTGCACATGAGACATTTTTCTATTTTTAACGTATAAAATATTCCCGCTGTCTGTGAAAAACAAAAATAGTAATAATTCCATGCCTAAGCTGCATGCACTTAAAATGTCTTTTTATGAAACTGAGAGACCCTGGGTGGTGCAAACAGTTAACATACTCAAGTGTTGGCTACTAACTGAAAGATTAGAGGTTCAAGTCCACCCAAAGGCACCTCAGAAGAAAGGCCTGGTGATCTACATCTGAAAAATTAGCTATTGAAAACACTGTGGAGCACAGTTCTCATCTGACGCACATGGCATCGCCATGAGTCAGAACTGGCTTGATGACCATTGGTCTGTGAGATCTGAACATCAAAGAAAAGTTTTTAAATCTTAGATAAACTAAGGGAGCTCTGGATTCTAACCATGAAATACTGACATGTAAGTTACATGATGAATACTAAAATGTTGCTATTTACAACAGCATGACTGAGCTGGACAAAGAAATAAGTACCTTGAGAAGTGGCTTGAAGGCAGTAGAGACAGTGAGTATTTGTTTCTCATTTTAATTCTTAGTCTTTTCACTCTCTCTAGTGCTAGTGATTTTCAGCAGATGGGTCCCTGGTTGCCTTAGCATGTGGTTTGCCTGGAGTAAAAAGTCACTGAAGAAAAGAACAACAAAGAAGCAAAGGCAGGCTGTGTTTAGCTTGGCAATTTGATTGTAGACAGCAGGATGTCATGGATGAGTCAGTGGACTAGGAGCTGGGAAACTGCCTAGAGTTCCACCAGTTTATTACCTGTGAGGCAATACTCATTATGATAGTCTGATTGAATCAGACTAGATCAGCCTCAAGGATTCTTTCAGTTCTTACTTTCTGTTAGTATGTGATGTTCCCTCTTAGTAAAGCGATAGGACTTCTCCTTGGCCTCTAAAAGCCAGTCCTCTGAGGAGTACTTACTGAGCAGACACTTGGATGTCCTCAAGGCAAGAGATCATGACAGTTCAGAATGCTTGCTCTCTAGGTGTTGCAATGTCTGAAAGCAGCCAGTCCAGTGAATGTTTCCTCAGCATGGCCACATCCAGATAAGCATGGGGATTACAGGGTGCCTTGAGAAAGAGGGGTGGATTAAGTGTAGTCCAGAGGATTAGGGAATGATCAGCATGTATTAGGGAAAGCTTTCCTTCTGGAAGAGATCAACTGTGACCCAGAAGGATGGGCTAAGCTTGGATATGTAGGTGGGAGGTTGTGGCAGGTATATGAGACAACCGAGGCCAGGCCTCAGGAAAGCCAGTCAGGCAGATGCTACTGGAGGCAGAGAGGAGTCAGGGAAATTGAACATGACTATGTGTGCTCACAGGAGCTCTGGTAGCATAGTGGCTAAAGCACTTGACTGCTAACCAGAATGCTGGAGGTTCAAACCCACCAGCTACTCCTCGGAAGGAAGGTTGGGCAATTCTACTTCCGTAGTGATACTGCCTCGGAAACCCAAGGAGGGGTCGCTATGAGTCGGGGGTCGACTCGACGGCACATAACAACAACAACAACGTGTGCTCACAGTGCCATGTGGGTGCTGCACAGACACTGCTACCAGTGAGGAGGAGGGCCAGGGCATGGGAACTGCCTGGCAGAGGGGTAGCTCTGGTCTGGCTCTCGAGGAAGAGACTGGTTTACAAACAACTTGGAAAAGTCTCCCTCTGTACTGATTACCTAGTGCTGCTCTAGCAGAAAATATCTAAGTGTGGATGACTTTAACAAACAGGGATTTACTCTCTTACAGTTGAGGAGGCTAGAAGTCCACATTTCAAGTACCAGCTCTAGGGGCTGGGTGAAGGCCCCTCGACCTTGGGCTTTAAGCTCTGCCTCTTGCTCCCAGCCCCCTGAAGCTAGAGACATCTCTTCACTCTGGCTGCTGCTGGCTGCTGAGGCTGACAAATCCCAAGGTCGACAAGTAAAATGGCACAGTCCCAAGATTATCAAGCAATATGAGAGGCTACTAATTCAAGTCCATTAACAGTCCCAAGATTGGCACACAACATGGCAGTCCGCTGAGATGAAGACTTGGCCAAATGCAGGATCCAGATGTGCCAAAAGCTCAAGACCTTTCTCAAAGCCTCTTCCTATACACGGGAAACAGACCACATCCCTAAGGCAGCTACTCAGCTGTCCACAATAGATCCCACCATGGAGTTGATTACAGTCTTATGATGGGGAATAACTATCTCTAGCTGTCCAGCTGCTCAAAACCAGGCCCAGCCAAGCTGACACATAACCTTAACTACCACACCCTTCCTTAAGTATCTTTCAGTATCCTGACATATTTCTCTATAGTGCTAGAAGGAATCCCTTCTTTTTCTTTTAATCACAGAACTGTCCTATAGAAAGCAGTTTAATTTATTAAACACATACCTCTAATAAATATCAAAATCTATACAGTACCTGATATTTTCTGTTTATGTTTATCAAATTAAGGAACATGTGAGGTTTATTTCCTTTTTTGGCTATTTAAGAAATGAAAGGAGATGAACTAATGGAGTAGCTTCTTTTTCTTCCAGGCCCAGTGGGCCCAGAGACAGTGATATGAGTACATAGGACATCCTCCAGGGCTTTCCGAGGCCAGCCTACATAAGGGCAGTTTAGAGCAAGGCTCCTTTTATGACCTGTGCGCTCTCACCATTTCCTTCTGGTGGAAGGTTTCTTGAGACAAGCATCCCTGACGCCTGCTAACGAATGCTCAGATTCTTGCATCTGAGCAGCTAGTTCTAAGCACGGCCTGAGAGGAGGCCCATGGAAGTTCTGTGTCTCTGGTTGATTAAAGGCTATTTTGCTGAAATCTCTCTAGCCCCTGTGTCATGTACACTGCAACACAATCTACATAGGAAAGGGGCTTCAGAAGCCCCTCTGGCAGCTTAAATATCAAGATGTAGCATTGGAAGGAAATACTGGGGGGCAAGGCATAGTTTGTCCAAACATGCATATATTCTAATTATATTTTGCACAAATTGAGGTATTGTTTGATGGTATCAAAGGTGGAATTCTTTTTTATTTTTAAATTGTGACTTGGGTGCAAATTTATAAAGCAAATTTGCTTACTCTCAACAGTTCATGTGCATTTGATTTCACAGCCCCAATTGCAGTCTCCAACCATAAAAAATTCCTCCCTTCTCCTCCCTATGACTACCCATTCTATGTGCACTTCTTATCTGTGCATTCCTCTCTGTCCACCTTTCCCTCTGTGTGAGTGCTGCCCCTCTGATGTTTCATGGCTGATTGATCTAAGGGGTGCATCTCCCTAGGGTAGGTGGATGCATCACCCTGGGGTAGGTGTTCTGCTTGTAGGTCTTTCTACTGTCAAGCTGAGAGCCAATCAACGGAAGTGAGCCCATTTCTAGGCCCAAAGGATGACATAGGGGGCCATAGTCTTGGGAGTTCCACCAGCCTCTATCCGACCAATAATTCTGGTCGTTTTTGTGTTTTTGAATTTTGTTCCACATTTTTCTTCCCACTCTATCCAGGATCTCCAATTTTGATCCCTTTCTAAGTGGTTAGCATTGGTAGCCAAGCACCATTTAATTCTTCTGGTCTCAGGGTCATGAAGGCTGAGGTCCTTGTGGTCCATCATATCTTTGGGCTAATTGTTTCCAAATGACTTTGATTTTCTTCACTCTTCTCTCCAGATGAGAGGAGAGCCTCTTTGATGGCTGCTCGAAAGTTTTTAAGACCCCAGTCACTACTCACCAAAGTAGGATGTAGAACAAGATTTTTATGGACTATGTGCCAATTGAGCATGATGTCCCCCAAGACTATGGTCCCCAGGCCTGGTGATTCTCTCTCACAAGATGTTTGGTTGTCTCTGCAGAGTTCCTCCCACCCTGTCTTCTGTTGCTTCTGTAATGTAAGTGGCTAATTTTGTAGCACAAGTACATTTGTAAGATTATCTTCAGCCAGATCTACCCTTGGTCTAGGGCGTATTCCCATTGCCTACCCCCACCTGCTCTTCTCACCTGCCTATGCATTAATCCATAGCCTGGTATTTGGTGCTAGTGATAGATACTGCAGTGTTGTATGTTGTCTATATCTTTTGTGCACACATTTCTGTGTCCTCCTTTTCCCCGTTGTCACTGTGCTGGTCACAGACTCTTTCCATATTGCCCCTCCCCTCCCCTCACCCAAATCAACTTGTGACACCGCCCCCCCAATCTAGTCTGAAATTTTTCTTCTGCTTCCTTCCCATCCCTGGTAACCAACAAAGTGAATTTCCTTCCCTGCATAAACCTTTCCTTGACTTTTTACAATAATGGACTCATATAATATTTGTCCTTCTGTGATTGACTTATTTCACTCAGCATAATATCCTCCAAATTCATCCACATTGTGAGATGATTCATGTATTCTTCATTATTCTTTAATGTTGTATAATATTCCATCGTGTGAATGTACTATAGTTTGGTTATCCATTCATCTGTTGATGGACATGCATTTAGGTTGTTTCCATCTCTTTGATATAGTGAATTGTGCTGCGATGAACATGGGCGTGCATATATCTGTTCATGTCCTGGCTCTCACCTCTTTAGGATATAGTCTTAGTAATGGAATTACTGGATCAAATGGTATTTCTATTTTCAACTTTTTAAGGAAACACCATACCATTTTCCACAGTGACTGTACCATCTTACAGTCCCACCAGCAGTGTATAAGAGTCCCAATCTCTCCACACCCTCACCAGCATTTGTTATTTTCTGTCTTGTTGAACTTTGCTATTATTGCTGGGGTGAGATGATATCTCATTGTTGTTTTGAATTGCATCTCTCTAATGACTAAAGATCATGAGCATTTCCTCAAGTGTTTGTTGGCTGTTTGTATATCTTCTTTAGTGAAGTGTCTGTTCATGTCCTCCAAGATGGAATTCTTATGAAATAATACATCAATGGAACATTTAAAAATTTATTTCACATCTCCACACACCTCACCCCACCCCCATCCATTTCCTGGCCAAAGTACTGGAATCATGGAAGTTCTTCCTATGAGAGCAAGCTCCTTAATTTATAAGAGATTCCACTTCTGTTATTTCATTTGTTTCTCCTGGTGAAATGGATACTGCCCTCTTTTTACAAGCGAAGAAACTGAGGCCCTGAGCAACTTGCCAAGAACCTAATTAGTGCTACAGTGAGTCAGAACCCCTAGGCTGTGGCCCCTACACTCCTGGTTGTTGTTAGCTCTGCAGGTACAAAAGAAAATAAGTGAGATCTAGTTTCAGCCATTTGATATACAGCTAAGTTGTTATTAAGACCCTGGAGTCAGACAGGCTTGCATTTAAGTTCTGACTCTATCACTTGTCAGCTACTTGACTCTGAGCAAAGAATCTAACCCCTTTAAACCTCAGTTTCTGTGTCTGTAAAATGAATACGATCATTCCTATCTTAGAGACTTATGAGAATTACATATGAAAGTATGGTTGAAATTAATTACTGAAAGTAGATTTGAATCATTACCATTGCTTATAATAATGAGACGATGGATAACTAACAAGAGGCTAATATCCTTGCCTGTTCCCAAAAATGGGATGATACGGACAAGAAAAAAAGCAGTAAGTAGATGGTTGTGGTGGCAAATACTACAGTTGCAATTCCACTGACTCAGATACCATGGTTCAGGGGGTAAATAGACATGACAAGAGAAAGGATAGGAAAAAGTCAAGGCACGAGGATTCTGAGCACAGAATACTGCTATCAAAGTCTCTCACTTTCACCCACAAACCCTTTAAGTTCAATTTGCCCCTTCCCCTGCCCATTATTTACTTAACTGCTTCATTTGTTAATATTATCCCAGTGCTAATCCACTTACTTTCTAAGCTAGTTGATATTGAAGATCATACTGGTCAGGTACTCAAATGACTGGCTAATTGCTGGTTGGAAATATATGTGTGCACATGGGCATGGCTCTGGCGTGGCGAAAAGAAGGGCCAAGGGAGCTAGAAAATGTGTTAGAGCAAGTTTTGACGTCTTTGCCATTCTGATTTATAGACTTGAGCCATATGGAATATGTGACAAGGTGTGCCTGTATTTGAAGCCTATAATGACATTATCCATTTCCTGTGTTTAAGGAGCTGGAATATCAGAAATCTCAGCCCCCACAGCCTGGAGACAAGTTTGTGTCTGTTGTCAGCCAGTTCATCACAGTAGCCAGCTTCAGCTTCTCTGACGTTGAAGATCTTCTAGCAGAAGCTAAGGATCTGGTAAGTTTCCCCATTGCATACTGAGTGTTGTTTGACAGGGCTGGGCTTTAAGTTGGTACTTTCAGATGTTTACTGTGCAGGAAACAGCAAGAATGGCATCCAAACATGATAGTGCAGGAAATAAAGTAGCAGATAATTGTTTTCCATATTCCATTGTTTTGTATAACATAGGTATATTTCCATTTCTAGGACCATGATCAACTGAAACAGACTCTTCTTATCTCATTGACTTGTGTTGCCTTTAGATTAGCAAAGCTGCAAAGGATCTGAGTGATATAAACCCAGTAAATACTTTGCCAGCTTTCCATTGGTTGATACTGAAGTGAAGTACTTATCTCTGGGAACCAGAATAGATTCTGAAAACCAAGGACAGGATGAAATGGGAGATCAGGTGTGACTAAAGCCATGGGCTGCAGTGCCTGTGTGTGATACACTCATCTGAGAGAGCCTTCAAGAATGGGGTACTCACTGCCTCCTTAAATCTCCAGGAGAAATTATTAAATGAGATGTATTTTAATCCATGGCCTCATTATAAGAGTCATAATTTTTAACACGATATCTCTTTTAAGCATTTTCACTGTTTGAAATCTTTCTTTTTCAGTTGAGGAAAAGTTTCTTTGGCCAATAATCAAGATCCTTAGATTCCTCTCTCTCTCTCTCTCTCTCTTTCCCTTTCCCTCTCTCCACCCCCTCCTCCCACTCTACCCCCTCTCTCTCCTCTCTCTCTTTCTCTTTCTTCTCTCTCTCCTCTCTCCTCTCTCTCTTTACCAGTCCTCTTTCTAGGTGAATTCTTCTTCCAGATCCATACACATCATGTATATACACAGGCACACACATTGTTTATGAATGATATTAAGTCCTTACTCTACCTTTTCAGGTTCTTCCACACTGTCTATTTCTTAGTTGCCAAAACATTCCTTTGCTTTAATTTGATTCTTCTCTTAGAGGCTTATGAAATAGATGGCACTTTTCACTGGTCACCTATCCAGCTATAGAGACAGAGGATTGCTTATGTAAACTCGCACACATATTGGATGAAGTTCAGAAGTGAACTGTTTTGAGCTATATCAGCTAATTCAACGTTAATCCCCTGCTCCCTCAGACATTATTAACCCTTCCATGAATGAATTATATATATATTTTTTTTAATTTTTGTTTATATGGTGTTTTTTCATTTGTGGAACGCATACTGAGTCACTGAGTGTGTCTGAATTTTTGGTAGGAGCTCTGGTAGCATAGTGGCTAAGACACTTGCCTGCTAACCAGACGGCTGGCGGTTCAAACCCCCAGCCACTCCTTGGAAGGAAGGTTGGGCAATCCTACTTCTGTAGTGATATTGCCTCGGAAACCCAACGAGGGGTCGCTATGAGTCGGGTTTGACTCGACGGCACATAACAACAACAACAACAATATGGATTTTATTGCATATTATATGGAAGACATGTGTCCCTCTGAACTCTGGTGGTAGGATTATGTGGGATGTATATGTCCTCTGTGCTCTGCATCGCCCTCTAGATCTCTTGACAGGTGCATTCAATGTATGGTGCCTGAAAATGCAGTATTCACACAAACATGGAATTATTGCAAGACACACAACCTCCAAATAATGCACTAAACCAAACTCACTGCCATCAAGTTGATTCCAACTCATAGTGACCCTCTTTGGGTTTCCAAGGCAGTAAATCTTCATAGAAGTAGATTGCCTAATATACTTGCAAGATTCATCTTGCTGTTCAAGAGACAAAAGTTATGTACAGTCACACCTCCGGGATGCAATACCTCATGCAGTATCCTGTAAAAATAGTGATTTGTGGCACATGCCCATTTCTTCTTTTTCAAATAGTTATATAGGTCCCTGCCTGCTGGCAGCATGTACTATCAGTAGTATAGTAGCTTCCCAATAAACCTGAGAGGCAGAAAGTATAGGTGAATGCTGTGTGTCCACTGTTCATGAAAGGATTAAATAAATGAGAAGACTATATGTGTTCTAAAAACTATTTTGAGACTACTCACTGCCATTGAGTCAGTCCCAACTCATAGTGACCCCTCCTTGGGTTTCTGAGGTAGTAACTCTATGGAAGTAGATTGCCCAGTCTTCCTTCTGAGGAGTGGCTGGTGGGTTTGAACCCAGCCTTCTGGTTAGCTGTCAAATGCCTTAAGTACTATGCCACCAGAGCTCCAATTTTGAGAGTATTGTTATTTGATGACTGCAGTCAATATTCCATGACTGAAATCAGTCTACCAATGTTTGCATTGTGTTTTTCAGTTTGTCAGCAACCATGGGTCAGACCTGTACTATGAACTATATTTTGAGTATCCCACCCATGTCTGTGAATGACTTACCACTTTAGAGTACAGTATACACTTTGTAAAAGAGGTTTTTACCCGCTGGGCAGTATGGTGCCTACTTCATCAAAGGGCTCAAATACCTTTGTAAGAATCAAGTAAATAAATAATTTTTGATTGAAAAAAAAAAAAAGTCACAAGACCTACTTTCTTTTTAGCATGAGAACTTTAATTTGGGCCTAGTTTTTTTAGGTTTCTAAGACTAAAATATACATGACTTTATCATCCCTAGAATTCCTAGATAAAAAGATCATTCAGGATGGCTTGAAGTGCGCAAATTTGTGTGTTTTAGAAACTCAGTTGTAGACCATTGCTATTTTGTTCATATCAGTAGGTTTAGAAATTAGCTTATAAATCAGTGGAGCAAGCTATTACACTTTTTGTGGCATATGACAAATGTTTTTCCCTAAAGACCTTTGTTTCTAGCAAAATACTTCCAAATAAGTAGAACATTGAGAACAACTCAGTGAAGAGAAAATAGTAAAAAGAATATTGTAAATTTAAAGATGTGAGATAATTATAAAAAATCATATATATACCAAAAACCTAACCCATACATAGCCATCGAGTTGATTGTAACTTATAATGACCCTACCCACCAGCCACTCCTCAGAAGGAAGGTTGGGCAATCTACTTCCGTAGTGATACTGCCTCAGAAACCCAAGGAAGGGTCGCTATGAGTTGGGTCCACCTCAACTGCACATAACAGCAGTACAGAGGGGAATTGCCCCACAGTGTTTCCAAGGCTGTAATCTTTATGAAAGCAGACTGCTACATTTTTCTCCCATGGAGTGAGTGACGGTTTGAACCACCAACCTTTTGGTTAGCAGCTTAGCACTAATAAAAGCAAACAATGCAGGAAATTGAGAAGGGGGGAAAAAAGCAATTAGAAACTTGAAGTTTAAATGCCTACTTAAATGCCTCTTGGTATAAATATTTAGAGAATTTCAAATGTGGAAATTTTCAAGTAGTCTATTGGGTGGATGAAAAAAAATTATCATTACTGAGTAATGGCATTGGATCTTTCTTTACAGAAGATAATATAATTCTGTCGAGCAGTTTAACAGGCACTGAACACTATTTGAGTAATCATAATAATATTAAGTGTGTTGGTTGGTTTTCAACAGTTAGAGTCAACTCTATAACACTTTATATTGGACAATACATATTGTCTAAAGGGGAGAAGTCAAGATATAAAAGCATAAGCTTATTATCTTGAGTTATGAAGATAACCACTAGAAAAACTGAAAACAGAAACAACTAAAACTAAAAAGAGCCTAAATACTCCATTTTCTTTGATTTGTAAAAATTCCCTGATACTGTGCACTTTGTTGTTGTTGTTGTTATGTGCTGTCAAGTCAGCCCCAACTCATAGTGACTCCTCCTTGGGTTGCCGAGACAGTATCACTATGGAAGTAGATTGCCCAATCTTCCTTCCAAGGAGTGGCTGGTGGGTTTGAACTGCCAGCCTTCTGGTTAGCAGTCAAGTGCCTTAGGTACTACGCTACCAGAGCTCCTACTGTGCACTTAAGGTATTTTAAAAAAGATTTTACATTGAAAGAGTGTATTGAGAAACGGGGTATAAAATAAAATTGTACCTTCAGTTATAAAATTCAGATTATATTAATGATGATGCCAAACCAGTCATTGTTTTCTAACCAAGACCCAGGAAATAACATAGTAAACCCAGCATCATTTATGACTAAAAAAAGCAGCACTGGATCCCATTTGCTTTCAATACTAACCATATGGCACCAATACATGATATTAAAGTACTTCAAAGAAAAGTTAAAAGTACAAGTTTCCCTGCCCCTGCTGAGTTTGCTATTAGTTTTATGTCTTGGGTGCTCTGCCCTACAATATTTCACTTCCTTGTTTTTACTACTGTTTAGTTAATAAAAAGTCATAGGAGAGAATTGTAGGCGTTAAGCTGAAATGAGGTGGGCAGGAATAAATTGTTTCACAAGATGAGAAGTATTAAGATTTTTATTTTAAAAACGAATGGTAGACCTGTTCAGCAGCCAAAGATAAATATAAGCTTATTGAAACCCATCAAATAATGTCTGACTCAATTTGAACCTTAGTCTCCCTAGAGAGATACTTGATCATGGAATGCCCTTGGAACCTTGAACTTCTTAAAACTTTCTTCTTCTAGTTTACTAAAGCAGTGAAGCACTTTGGGGAAGAGGCTGGCAAAATACAGCCGGATGAGTTCTTTGGCATTTTCGATCAGTTTCTTCAAGCTGTGTCAGAAGCCAAACAAGAGAATGAAAACATGAGAAAGAAGAAGGAGGAGGAAGAGCGCCGAGCTCGCATGGAAGCCCAGGTAAGAGGGCAATTAACTGGCCAGCTGCGTCCTCCTGGAAGTTCTGTTGCCACAGCTGCTTGGCTCTGAGACAGCAGTCGGATGTGGTGGCAAGGCGGGGGGCAGAAAGGCACCCTCTAGAATGCTGCTGGGCGTTAAATGGGTGTAAAGTTTCTCTTGGGCAATTCGACAGTATTGATTCAAAAACCTTAAAAAATATATCCATCCTGTGATCTGGAATCCCATTTTATAGAAATTATTCTAAGGTAGTAATCAAATTTGCACAAGAATTTAAATAGAAGAATATTCAGAGCACATTCTTTATAATAACCTCAGACTGGGAAGCAACCTTAATTTAAATATATTTACCAGTAGGGTGTTAGTTATAAATGATGGAATAGCTACGTAATGGAATATTTATGCAATCATTAAAACTCTTCTGAGAATATTTCTTGTGAGAAATATGTCTTCTGAGAATATTTAGTGATAAAAGAAGTTTACAAAATGATAGCTGTGTGCAATCCTTTTTAAAAATTAAATGTGGTTATGGAAGATAATTTTGGTAGGTTATAGCCCAAAAGATTCACAGGGACTATCTCTTTGTTAGAATTAAGGATGCTCTTTCCCCCACTGTGGGACTTTGTTAGAGTCCCAAGGTTATGTTGTTTTGCTTATGCAGCACTGAAGATGTGCAAGCAGTTTTCTGTACTCTGCAAATAAGTTTGTCCTTGAGCATGCAGGTACAAGTACAAGTTATTTTTCTCATGCTCCCAGTTCCCAAACAAAAATGTTTATTAAGAATAGGGAGTTTCTATAAGAACTGATATGATTAACAAGTTGTGTTTTGGAGTATAGTGTCCGTGGGAAAGAACAAGAAGTTTTGAGAAAGTTTGTGACTGTGCCTTTGAACTCAGAATAGATATATTATGCCTGCAAAAAATAAAGCTTTACTTCAGATCATCAGTCTAAGCCTCTCCTTGTTCTTCATCTTCGGCTCTCCCCTTCCCTCGGCTGGACCGCGGCACCCCACATGCTTATCTGGATTATCTCAGTTTTCTATAACGCATGTGTACTACTTGACTTTTGAGGACACACTCTTGTGTTGTCAGACTCCAGGCATCTTCCAAAGGCACAGTCAGAGCCTTTGATGTAAAGAAAGTGGCAGGATGACCATTTGCTTTGGTCTCTTTGTTCTTTGTGTATGGGGGGAGAGGGGAGTAGTATTTGGGCCTATCTACTTTTGTAGTGCTTAAGGCATTTGACTGCTAACCAGAAGGCTGGCAGTTCAAACCCACCAGCCACTCCTTGGAAGGAAAACTGGGCAATCTACTTCCATAGAGATACCGCCTCAGAAACCCAAGGAGGGGTTGCTGTGAGTTGCAATCGACTGGACAGCAGTGAGTTTGTTTTTTGGTAATAGTAATAATCTTTTCTTATTCCATGATGGAGGCCCACATTGCCTCCATTGCTCTTTTTTAATTAGAATACAATGAGGTTTACCTCATCTCTAGATGATGTGGGTCTAGTCACAAAGTAGTGATAATTTTTTTTTCATTGTTGTCTGCTTCTACAATGAGACCTCATGTCCCAGTTGTTGTCCTGTGACATCTGAGGAGATCAGCAGCTATAGATAAACATAGCTTGGTATAATTGGCACATTGTTGTACCTTCCACAGTTAATCTTCACTGAAAACAAAACCAAACGTTTGGACCCTTCTCTAAGATCCATTTGGACCTTTTGTCTACTTGCAGCTCAAAGAACAACGTGAACGGGAACGTAAAATGAGAAAAGCAAAAGAAAATAGTGAAGAAGGTGGAGAGTTTGATGACCTGGTTTCAGCTTTGCGCTCAGGAGAAGTCTTTGACAAAGACCTTTCTAAACTGAAACGGAATCGCAAACGCATAACCAACCAAATGACGGACAGCAGCCGGGAGAGACCAGTCACAAAACTTAATTTCTAATTTTCCTTGAACACTTTTTTAGATCATTAGCAACCCTTTGAAGTGACTAGAATGTTTCATTACACTGCCTTGCAGTCCAAACAGTGGCAATTCCTTCTTCCATCTGTGAGTGAGTATGTGTATGTGTGTGTGTATGTGTATGTGTGTGTGTATAATGTATATAGAAGTCTGAATGTTGTCTGGAGACTGATATGTATGGTTAAAAAAAAAAACTATGTTCATGTATGTGCTCAGAAACCCTTCGTATACATTCGTATTGAGTGTGACTCATTTTCTTTCCCTGAACACCATGACTGTTCAGAAGCACAACACTATCTCCTGAAAGAGATGACAGAGACATTCCCTAGAGAAAATGAAAAACAAAAGCAAAAAAAAAGAAGGCTTGTGAAATATTTTACAGTTTCCAAGCTTAGTATTCTTTGAAATTATTTTCATTGGTCAAAATGGTTTTGGAAGAATATAGATTTGCAATGGTTTGTGATCGTTGACAAGGTGATGTTGGTCCATCACATCAGTAAGTGCTAGGACTAGCTAAGAATTTCTGACATTGGTGTGAGGTACAGTCTGTAAATGTTTATTTAGAACATCTTGCACACAATCTGAATTATGAAGAAAGTCAGGATATATATTTAAAACTTGAACATCAATTTCTTTTTTTCCTTTCCCTAATCGCATTGAGTTCTCTGCCAAGTGCTCTTGATTTTTTTAAATTGCTTTTGGAAAAAACATTATTTATCTAAATGCAATCCATGCTCCTGTTAAAGAACAAGATTGCTAGAAAGTACTTGTTCTAACAATATAGATAAAAACAACTTTAAAAATAAAATTTCCCACCCAAAACTTAAAAGGAGGAATTCTCTGAAGAGATTAAGATTATAAAAGGATTTTTCTTTCTTTTTTTTCAAAAGGGGGTGCTTGTTTTTGTTTTTGTGTTTTCTAATTTCTGTTCTGTAGGACAAACTGCATCTTCTGTAAATATAGGCCTGGACTAAAGGACACTTAGTGACTATACAAAATGTCAACAACATCCACAGAGATGCCAAGATCTACTTATCTCTATGTACATTTGAAGTGGTTTGCTGTTTATATGTTTGCTGTTTCTATGTCATTTTAAATTGTATGTCAGTAAAGCTACCTGTAATATTTCAGTCCAAAAAATAAACCTCTCAGGGAGAAATGAATAAAAACAACATTAGAAAATGAAATATAGATGCTTACCATTAACCTACCAACTCTTAATAACCTTAAATTATATGATATATAAAAAGGACTGTTACTTTTTTTTTGCTTTATTTATTTGTAGTGGGGGAGGGGGCGAGGTTCTCTTTTCTTTCCATCGATCCTATTGTGGTTGGGTTTCCTGTGGAGAGAGTAGTTTGTCCTGTTGCACTAGAACATTATTTACTCACTAAATTTAGTTTTCAGTCAATTAACAAATATTTATTGAACACCTACTTATGTGCCAGGCATAGTAGGGCTACCATAGTAAGCAAGACAGAGTCCCTGTCCCCAAGGAGCTTACGTTCTGATAGGGACACTAAGGGATGAATGGAATACCAGTGTGCTCGCTGTACAGGAATCATGCTATTTAAAAATAATTTGTATAAACTATAATGCTTAGCACAGATGGTGCGGTATCTGTGCTATGTGAAAGCTGTGAAATAGTACTCTAAGAGGTCAAGAGCTGTGGTTTTACATTTTTTTCCTCATTGCAAACTTAGTGACTTTCCACATGTTATATGAAAGTAAATGACTCTAGCAAATAAAACGGTCGTAAATACAAAGCAGAGGCCGAGCTCTCCAACTCCCATTCTCCAAGGTCTGCAGATATACTCTGTTAAAGGTGCAGATGGAGCCTTGCTCAAAAAGGCTTGGAGACAAAGAGAAGGAGTGGGATATATTGATGGTTTTGTCTAATCCTTAACTAAAGTGCCTCTCTCTATATATTTTTTCTATTTATAGCAGGAAAAAATTGGTCCAGCTCAATTTTGGAACTGTATTTTGAAAGCGGCTTTGTTTTACAGTTTAAGGCATGGCCAAGTGGCGGGAGAGTCACAGAAAGGAGCAAGTTTGTTAAGCATGCCCCTCTTGCCCTCTGATCATCCTCCTTTTGAAATGGCCAACCTGGTGGGCCTCCTTTGCCATTTTCCTTCTTGGTTTCTTTACCCAAAAGCTGTGTGCAGGTAATTCCATGTGCCATTGTTGAAAAAACTACTTCTTAGGTCGGTGCTGGTGTAAGTAGCCACTTTTCTCTCTTGGGTGTGTATTTGAAAGTTTTTGTTTGTTTGTTTGTTTTTTTAAATTAATGCCAAAAAGAAAAAGCATTATAATTTGTAAACTTAATGATATGTCTTGTATCTTATTAGCTTAGTAGTTGGAACCACTTAGTCTTTAGATGCAAGACTGTTGTTACAGTACCAAGAAAAAAAATGTTGTATGTGTTATGAGACTGTACATTTTTTAATAGCAATATGCAATAAAGAGATGAATTCATTGGCTGTACACATATGATTTCTATTATTAAAACAGCATTACCAAACATCTTTGTAGGCTTCACCATTGAATTTAAATATTGCAAATTATTCACTACATTAGAAATACATACATATTTTTTAACTTATGCGTGCTGAGTAGCCCACAGCTTCCTGTTTGGTGTCATTCTTCAGAAGGTCACCAGGTCTTTTCTTCCAGGATGCCTCTAGGTGGATCCTTCATTTATCAGCTGAGTGAGTTGACCTTTGCACCACCCAGGCATTCCTGACATCACCTCTACTCATCTAGAAACCTAATGAATCTATTATGATGAGATAAGTTACAATCTGAATTCTTTGTCTTGGAGAAACTTTGGAACACCTAGAGGAAGGAGTTTAGTGTTTATGGGGATTTTATTTGTTTTCCATAGCGGAGACCCATCAGAACTATTTTTCCTCTGTCTTGTGGGGGAAACATCAGATCTGCCCTTTGGTCTCTCCCTTGACATGCTTTTGTCTACTCCGATAAATTATATTTCCATGGTAGCAAACAGACAACACTAGCACGGGATTGCACACCAGGGTTTTCAGACAAAGGAGATTTTATTAAACTTTGGCAATGTTTTTGTTTCTCATGGAAAAGAGTTTCCTAAGTAGTGTCTTTGGGTATGATTTCCACTGTTCATTTGAATAATGCATTTGTTCTCTCTGCTTCTCTGCTTGTGATTTCTTCCCCTGGGAGAAGGAGCAAAGGAAGCAGCGTTCTGTAATTCTGATCTTTGCTACCGACGTCCCTTCTCCTTTATGCCCACCGTGGCATTGTGGGGACATTTCTGTGGCAAAGAAATCTTCAACCCCTCATACCATATGTGAGCATGTCTTGGTTAATGCCCTGATCCCCATCCTTGCCCCCATGCCCCCACCCCTGCTTCCAGTGTAGGAAAACTTTCTTAAGTCTCATGAGGTTTGTGGGGCCACTTGACTCCTGGAGCAAGAGAAGATATCCAGAGAGGAGATGACGATGATCAGAAAGACAATCACAGGGAAAAGAAGGCAGTGCCTCCACCAGGTGCTCAGAAAGAGGTTCTTCTATGTATGGCCAAGAAGCTTTCCTACCAAATCAGGTTTAGTCACCTCTACTTCTTGGCACATTGGTTAATCACTCTGCTACTAATTGAAAGGTCAGTGGTTTGAACCCACCAGCAGCTCCACAGGAGAAAGATATGGAAATCTGCTTCTGTAAAGATTTGCAGCCTTGGAAACCCTATGGAGCAGTTCTACAGGATTGCTATGAGTCAGAGTCTACTTGATGACAGTAGGTTTGGTTTTTGGTACAACCTTGCACAAAAGGAGCCCTCGTGGTGCAGTGATTAAACCCTCAACTGCTAACTGAAAGGTCAGTAGTCAAAACCCACCTAGTGGCTCCACAAGAGAAAAGACCTGGTGATCTGCTCCTGTAAAGGTTATAGCTTTGGAAACTGTGGGCCAGTCCTACTCGCTGTGGTCCCTCCAGTGCAGAGCAGTGGGCCATTCCATTGAGCTTGATTTGTTCCTTCCTACTCTTCCAACCACACTCTTCCAGGTCACCACGAGGGCCTCCACAGGAAAAGTCATGTTAATGACATACATTGATTTTATAACTAGATCAATGCATGTGGTTTTGGTGTGTGGTCCATGGGGTCACTATGTGTAGGAATCAACTCTACAGCACCCACCTACCTTGCACATTCTCTCCTCAACTAAACTTTGGTAGCTTCTCTTTCCCCTTTGACTTCTGTAATGTGCTTGGCTACTAACCAAAATGATGGAGATTCAAATCCACCCATAGGCACCTTGGGAGAAAGGCCTGGTGAGGACTGAAAATGAATCAACAAAGTGACAACTGATTAGTTTATTGACATCTGAGTGTTATCTAACATCTGAGTGTTGTGTGTGTGTGTGTGTGTGTAGCCTACAGGCAGCTTCTCTTAGTACCTTTTTGGACTTCCATTCAGATGCATGTCCCAAGACTTCAGAGGAGGCTGTAAAATCCTCCTGGTTAACTCTTTGCTGTTCATTCCTTAACTCTTTAGAAGCCAGAGGGCAGCAATAAATAAAGAGCTAGTCACTCCTTAAGCAGTTCACATTTTAAGTCTAGCATTTCAAGACAAATTTCTGTAAGGAGCTCTGGTAACTTAGTGCCTAAGGCACTTGACTGCTAACCAGAAGGCTGGTGGTTCAAACCTACCAGCCACTCCTTGGAAGGAAGGTTGGACAGTCTACTTCCGTAGTGATAGCACCTCGGAAACCCAAGTCGAACCAACTCGACGGCACATAACAACAACAACTGTGAGTAGAATGTTACCAGGAAGAACCTCTCCTTCCTTCCTCTGAACTAGCTTCATTAGTTAAGCCACCATCAGAAAGGCCTCATTATTAGAAATCCTTAAAGTACCTTTTGCAAACAGCCATCTTCTACTGTTTTGAATGTGATACACTTGACCCTGAAAAGCAGCAGCTGTCTAGTGACATGACGTTTTTATGGCTGGTGAGTTCACACTAATAGAATGGACTTCCATTGTCTGCTAAGGCACAGCTAGTAGTGGAGTCAAGCAGGCCCTATCTCACCCAAGTCTCTGTTAAAGGACTTGTGCAATGGAGAAAAATACCTCTGCCACATGATCTAGAGAAAGGATGGCTCTAGGGCAGTTGTCATTGACTTTCCCTCACTAGGATGTGGCAAAGGGACCCTGACCCATCCGGGAACTACTCACAGTCATCAAAGTACACCCCATAGTACTTCCCATCTGCCTATTCTGTTTCCTGTGGCAATTTCTAAGCAGCACATTAGAATCTAAGGACTCCAAGTTCCAAAGTTGTCTCTGTTGCCAGCAAACACAGATGTGACCTTAGGACAGTCTCTTAAACGGCTTTGCTTCCTTTTATGGAAGCTAGGCTGAGTGGTTCTGAAACTTCCCATTGCAAGATGCTGCAGCCCTGCTTCCCAGGCTCCCAGGCTCCCAGGCTCTGGGTGATGGGAATTCACCACAGCCAACTTAGGAATTAGAATTAAACAAACGACCCTGATTGCAGTGCTTATCAGCCCCAGTCAAGAAACCAGGCCTCTCGCCCTGGCTGTTTGGGAAGAGGAGAGGTGGAAGGGCAATTGCATAGAACACAGTACATGTTAGTGGTAAAGAGACTCATTCCAAGGTTTCCTTTTTTATTTTATGGTAACCGTGGTAACACTGATCCTTGGGGCCCCATCTGGACGACACCAAGACCACATGCATTGATCTAGTTATAAAATCAACGTATGTCATTAACATGACTTTCCCTGTGGAGGCCCTTGTGGTGACCTTGGAAGAGTGTGGTTGGAAGAATAGGAAGGAACAAATCAAGCTAAATGGAATGGCCCACTGCTCT